TGATGATATATAATAGGTTCGTTTCTGTATCCTACGACTGTTGGGTATTGGGAACCTAATTTTACTTAGTCCCCGCCTTATTGTTTCGCGATCAGCCATATTTACAATCACTTTAAACGTTCCTTAATCAAGGCAAGCAAGAATTCCATTTGAATACCTCCAATTGAGTGTGAATGTAAATATTACAAGCTGAAGGTAAAAGAGGAGGGAACATTGAAAGTAATCTATAAACAAAAGTGCGGAAGTTAACTACAGAAGCCGGCTTTATCATTAAAACGCTAATTGAATTGAATGTTCGGAATGTATATTTAGTTTTGCAAATGACGTAAGAAAAGATTCTCAAAGAAAGTTGGTCTCGGTGACTGTGTGTTTAAAAATAGTCCGTACATTAGATCATACGTTACGATTAGAGAAAAATGATTAGTTCAGTTTGGAGGCGCAGTCCGACCCAGATCTGAAATAGCACCGACACTTGTATCTCCGGGCGCAAATGGCCTTGTGCCTCCTTAATAGAACAATAGCTTAATAGATCTGGTTAATATATTAGTCAATGTAATTCGTTGTGCGAACACTAAGCTGCCAATTGAACATAGTTTGTATTTATGACCGAGTCTCGCGGCATTTAAAATTTAATAGTATTTTTAACCTAAAAGTTAATATTAATTTAAGATAGTAAGGAATCTCTTAAACACAGATATTTCAAATTTCATATCCATCAAATCTTTATAGTTTATTGCTGGTTTCGAAGATTCTGAAAGATTTTCTATAATCGCAACTTTTATAGGATTAACGATCGCATTACCTACTCGTCTGATTTTGCGGTTATGGAAAATCGACCCTTTCACTGCCGCTGTTCTTAGTATTTTAGGTCTGATATCATATGTATATGTACGATTGCCAAGTGCCTGGGTTTCCCCAGGCCCTGTATTGAGAAACGTGTGGATGCAAGATGCATTCAAATAAAATTTCAAGACGTTCCGTTTAAAAACTAAGAAATGTTGTTTAGTCGTAATTAACATAAAATTTTTGTAATAGGCGAGTAAGATGACGAATAACCTCAATTTAACTCTAATAAGTATAATAAAACAAATTATATAGTTCAAATAAATTTATTATTTTCAAATTTGATTTTAATTGTTTGAGAATCTTATTTTAAGAGAATTAGGAAAAATCATGAAAATGATTAATAAATAAACCAAAAAAAAAAAACTGACATTTTGAATTCTTTGCCATCAGCTTTTATCATATACCATAAGATATTGGAATTTTCTTCAGTCAATTATTACGACTCGAATTAAAAAAATATTGTAGACGTTATTGTGAAATTAGTTGATAAAGTAATTATTTCACCCGAAGAGACTTATTAAACACTGTTTAACTAAACGTCTCAACAGTATAGCTTCTAAATGGTGATCGTACTTTGTTGAAAATTCGTTCCTGAGGTCACGCAGTAAATTATTTAGTAATAAGTAAGTAAGAATCGTTGGCTTGGTAGTGTAATGGTTCGACGTTTGTCTGCGACGCTGCGGGCTCGCTGGTTCGAATCCCGCATGGAAAAGTGTTTGTATAGCCATCAAATATGGTTTTGTGGCTCTGGATGCACGTACATGCGAAAATTATGCATTTAAAACGCGTCCATGATACTGCAGAACATCCTAAATTCTAGTGTGTAGTAGTGTAGGTGAAAAGTAGGTGTCATCGTCACGTTACACCAACCAAAACAATTTAACGTTGTGTTCACAACGGAGCCTACGACTCACCAGAGACTGCCACAGAGTAATTAATACGTGGTAGAGCCATGCTGCAGCTATATTATAGTTGTAGCACGAATGGGTCGGCTCGACCGGGGAAGGACCACGCTCTCACAGAATACTAGCGTAAAATAGCAGCTTAATACTGCTGTGTTTCGTATGGTGAGTGTGGAGAACCGGAGACCCTTTTTTACTGGAAACGAGGCATTCCATCCAGTCGTCAGGGGTGACAACGCATCTGCGTTTTGATTATTAATCGAGGTTAAATTTAGATGTCTATGGGCCGCAGAATCCACTTACCATCAGGAGGACTGTGTGCTCGTTTGTCACCCAATGCTATAAAAAAAGTAATATCCTGAGCCATCTATATGAATTCGTCGACTCACTGCAAGTTCTACCAAGTCGCTATCTAGATATGGGCCACCTTATACTGCCCTGCCCTGACTTATCTATATGGCCACACAAAAATATGTATATATATATATATATATATATATATATATATATATATATAAATATGTATATATATATATATCTGCCCTTTTCGACAACCTTTGTCATGTCCTATTAAAAATCCTTAAATTCGCAAAAAAAATTGTGGGTCATTCATGGGCAAAAAAAACTATCCTATCTCTCAAGTTGGACCAAACTGCACACGATGTGCAAATTTCATTAAACTGAATGTTATATAAAAAAATCTTAATTATTTTATATACGATAATAATTCATGAACCTCATAATATGTGACACAACTGACTGATACGGGCGGGTAGGGAAGCAGGATTTCCTGTGTTATTATTGTGCAGCTGTACAACAGTTATTTTTAAATTTCAATAATACCAAACATTCATATGAAGTTAATAAATAAGTGTAATCTTCTTTTTCATATTATATAATTAACTTCCGTCCACATTATGTTTGTTATGCGAAGCATATCATTTTATTGGTGCTTGAATTATACGTATTATTATTATATTTAGTTTAAAATTCTTAATTAACGTTTAAAAACCTTTATACATCATTACATTAAATTTTATTTTGCTAAAACTTTTGTTAAGTTAAGGAATCTTCAAGCGGTTTTAAGTTAAAATATTTCTATTTAATGAAAATGCAATTTAGTTTAAAAATTTGAAATAATTACTCCATCTTATCCCGTGGATGTCGCAAGAGACAACTTAGGGTGCTCGAGACTCAGAATATCTTGTGGCCCGTAGCAATAGTAAAGTTAGTAAAGTAAAGTTACAGCCTATATACGTCCCACTGCTGGGCTCAAGCCTCCCCCTCATTTCTGAGAGGGTTTAGGGCAAGGAAGTGTCCGCCGCGCTGCCCAAATGCGTGTTGACGAACTTAACATGTCTTCAAAATATTTTTTTCTTATTCCTCAGACATGCTGGTTTCCTCACGATGTTTTCCTTCACCGCCGAGCACGTGATAAATCAGCACTTAAAATTGCAATTAACAATTTCATTGGTGCCGGCGGGGATCGAACCCGGGTTACTCCCGCGTTCTGTTATATTTACAGCGAGCGTTAACCACTGGGCTACCACGGCTCTCGTGCAATACTTATTCATAAATACATAGCCATACAAAATACAAATGAACGAAATGACTTCTTGATTACTTCTTCGTATGACACAAGCGGTGCCAAATTTTTATAATTGCCGTTGAACAAATTCTAAGTTATTTACAATGAATAAAAATATTTTTATAAGAAATGTTTTATTTCTTATAATGTAACTTAATAAAATTAAATTGGTTTTGGAGTTTAGAGATTTTTAATGTTAATTTGCCCTAATTACTAAACTCATCAGAATTTGTTTTATAAGTCTAAATCTAGGTACCTACTACGGAAGGTTAACGACGCAAAGTCACATCATTACATTTTGTACTTCTTGTTTGCTTTATTGAATCGCATATAAGAAAATCCTTTGGTTGCTCTGAAAGTTAATCTAATTATTTAAATCTTTGGTTTGGTTGATGTAATAGTGGTTCCATTTTCTCAATCTCTATAGTAACTTAATAAATTCACTGCCTATCTCAACTTTTGTTTTAAGAATGCTAATGACAAAATGCCAGTTTCTTCTAGAAATAGGAATTTTGTCTAGACTGGTTGCTGCTAACTTCTTTTTTATTTTGTCTTTAAGAAAGTACGATTTTGAACAAAGCGTTCATTTGGAATTTCAATCCGTCCAATAGTCAAATTTTCGTTGGATATGGAATGTTTAAACTTACCGATAGCATTTTGGTTAGGCCGCTATTACAATATTATATCTGTAATAATCATAGATACATGATTGAATAAAACTATTATTTACGGATTTTATCGCGTTTAATTCAACTTTAATTTATTTTTATTATCCCGACGTTTCGGGTGACTTACAGCACCCGTGGTCACGGGGGGACTGAGATGTTTGACGTCCCAATGTCATAGTTTCGGCTACCTTCAGTTTTTGAATATTAATTTTTGGTCCGATTTACGCAAAATGAGCTTATAGTATCATGAAGTCTTGCAGTGGTATGCTTGGGTTTGGGTTTAATTTTGTAAATTATAGGATCCCAAGCAGCTGGCAGCACCCATCCATTTTCTCTATTGAAATTTGGATGTTTTTTAATTTCAATAGCCTCGCGTATCATCCTTGGTAGGAATCGGTGTTCTTTTGCGAGGATTTGTGGTTTATCAAATCTAATGTAATGGTGGGGACGATCTTGAACATGTTCGCAGTCTGCAGACTTCCCGCAGCGTCGGTCTCAGCATACCGCTGCAAGACTTCATGATACTATAAGCTCATTTTGCGTAAATCGGACCAAAAATTAATATTCAAAAACTGAAGTTAGCCGGACTAACTATGACATTGGGACGTTAAACATCTCAGTCCCCCCGTGACCACGGGTGCTGTAAAGCACCCGAAACGTCGGGATAATAAAAATAAATTAAAGTTGAATTAAACGCGATAAAATCCGTAAATAATAGTTTTATTCAATGTGTAGTGTTTGCGTAAATTTAAGAAATCATTATAGATACACGATTCATTGAAAAATGAGAAAACTATAACAGTTTAGTTTGTACATGATTCAAATGTACAAACTTTGATTATGGACAAGTATATAATCAAAGTGTACAATCTAAACTGCCATAGTTCTCTCATATTAAGATAATGGTAATATAATAGTGGCCTTTCACTTCCTTTCTAAAAATATCGTTTTACTACTTCCAATGTATTCTCATGTAATAATTATTATTTTTAATAGAAGAGAAAACGGAGGCGGAAGAAAGTGGACGTCTCCGTTGCGAGACGTTCGACATTGAGCGCGTGTTGGAGCACGGTGCACATCTTATGGGCTCTGAGGGCCACGAGTACGACCTTGATGAAGAGTCATTGTCGGCTGGAGGTAAGAATTGTAAACGTATGAAAGAGCAGCATCTAATGTCTACAGATTAACAAAGACATTTGTCATCAGTGTTGATCGGAAGGTCCACCTAGGGACACTTGTTGAGCGTCCAATCCAATGTAAAACCAACAGTGATTGATGAAATCATAAGTTAATGTGATTCCTATGTCGTAAGAGACGAAAGAGGGAAACTGAATCTGGAAATGAGTAGAGCATTTTCCTGATATAAACTCTATTATAATAAACACTGCGTTACTAACCAATTACCAATAAAAACATGCCAAAGAGCAATGACGAATATCCGCCTTATGAGGCAATTTATGTGGGAGGTCTATATCAGCAATGGATTTTTGATATACAGTTGACCCGCGGTAATCCGACAAACGTTTTGCAAGGCAGTGTCCGATTATTGAATTTGTCGGACTATAGAGTACTGCCACAGCCCCCTGGTAGTCCGTAATTTATTGAAAGAGAGTGCCTTGTAATCCGACAGGTTACATATCAAATATAGTGTAATAAAAAATAAAATATCATGTGTACAATGAACACCTAAACAGTAAATAATGAATGCCCGCTAGGCCGCTACCATAGTCACATTTGAACTGAGACAAGCTAGATTCGTGGTGGCGCGAACTGCAACCTGTTTATCCACGTATTCGCGAAGGACACCTCTCCTCGCGGCGGATTCCTAGCGCGACCGAGTCTACTTACAAGTTAAATACATCTCGGATTACAAGGGGGTATGGATTACCAAGAAGCCGGATTACCGGGGGTCCACTGTACTGCAATGAATGAAAAAGAAGCATGTGTATGGAGTTGGATATATCTATAAGGATACACTACACACTACACCGCAGTTCATCACAGGACTATTGTTCAGCAGTATACGCCTTATAAAGCATGACATATTTTGACGAGATCTTCACATCTTCAACCCACCTAGTGAGGGATGAGGCTGTCCAATACTGCGCTGGCCAGCATGAGGCTACCACTTGAGAAAGGTACCATTGCGATTAATGAAAGCATATTGCTTCGTAAAATTAACTCAAGTGACCGACTTGCTCTACGGATTTGTCATTATGGCCTATTATTATATTAAACCTGATATGATCTAGTGAGAACTTCCTCGTTATGTTATACAGTGCTCAAGGGTAATTGTTATTGATTGTTAGTCTGTAGCCGATTATATGACGAAAGTTAAGAATAAATTACTATGTATTTCTCACAAGTATCAAAATTCATTGAAGCAGTAGCAAAAAACATGACTGATACTAATCCTCTTAACGTAGTGCTAAGTCTAGAAGCGGCAGTTTTCTATACGGGCTGATCACTCTTATAGCCATTGATGTAGTTGTGAGCTTATCATTAATATCTTTCAAAATGTATTCAGAAGAGGGTGCGTTATTGTTGGCCAGTACGCTCTTGCTCGCATTATTATTACGGAGATGCAAACGCAGAAGATTGGATGTGACCGTTTTTAAGGTCTAGCCTTAAAAACCTTTTTTAAGGCTAGACCTTAAAAAAGTTTAAGGCTAGAGAGAGAGATACCTTAAATTCATCTAGACTTCATTTTAAATAGCGATCGGTGGAATGGGACGGATTCTCGAATATCGATATTCTACCACCGATCGATGTCATCGATCGATACACTATCGAAACTGTGTCTACCACACCGGATAGACACTATCAAACGACGTCGTTTAATCCATTCCACCATAGATCGATATGTGTGGTAACACCTTAAAGATGAAATGTATTATTTACCTAAATAATATTTGTCTTTTCAGATATAAAAGAGCGTTTGGCAAAACAACGACAGCAGCTTAACTCACGTTTAGGACTCGATGTAGCCTCTAAGTTAGGCATGGATTTGACATCAGTCTATTCCAACGAAGACCTATATCCCGTCAAGGTGCAGGCTAAACTTGAGCCAATACGGGTAAGTTTTGTTTTTCTTTAATCCATTAAACACATATGTTGGTTTTGGTTGCTCAATAATATATTTGTTTTATTAATTTCTATTACCAAAACTAAGAAGTTAATGAGAGTAAGACGTGAACATTATCCCTCGAGCCTTAACATATGCTATAGAAAAATAACCATTGTTAACATTGTTAATATCTGAAATGTTTCTAATTTTAAATTCAACAACAATTCAAAATTGAGAATTATATATTTTTGGATTACTTTATCAATAGAAGATTATATTAGCAATAAGACCTTACATTTTGAAGGACATGTGATGAATTATCTTAACACCATCACTCCGTGAGAAAGTAATTAATTACTTATTTATTAATGCTACTGCTTGGACAAAGATATGCGAGGTGGATTATTGAATACAATATATTGTTCTAGAATGTTTGATGATACTTCTTGTCGCCACATGACTTATTTTACACCTGATATGTATTTCACACATCACCTATCGTAGACCTTAATTGCACCGTGATTTACAGAAGAAGAGAAGAGAAGCTTTTTTATATTTTATTTTCAAATATGAAAGACTTGAAAAATAACAAGTAATCATTAAATCTACACTCAATTGTCTTTAAAATGATATTCATGACACTATATGACAGGGCTTCTGCCTCAAGTAAAATGCATTTTTCTTTCAAATCTAAATAAGTTTATTTTTGTGGTTTGTTCAACAATGAACACTTAATCTCATCACCTAAGGTCTCGTAAGAATTCATTTATGCCACGGCCATACAATGGTCCTTTTTGCATCCATATAATAGCTTGGAGTCACCACTGTGCAGTGCTTCAGATACTAACGTAGAAGAGTACGTACGCGAACTTACTAAGTTCAATTTGTAGAGGCCAGTGCAGGAGCTGGTGACGAGCGCTTCTTCAAAGCCGCTGAGCTCGCGAGAGATGAACGTGGCGAAGCGCAAGGCGCGCGCGGCCTTCAGCAAGCAGAAGTCGCGCGACTGCGAGGAAGCCACATCCTCGGCGCCCGCCCCGCCTGACCCGCCCGCCTCGCCCCTCGAGCCCGCCCGTAAGAAGATCAAGCTGGAGCCGCTCGACGACTTCGTTGGTATGTACTTGCTCTACGTGCGTTTTAAATACAAGCTGGAACCACTCGACGACTTCGTTGGTGTGTGCTCGCTCTTCGTGCGTTTTAAATTCATCTATACTTATAAATAAAATGAATTGTTCGTCTGTAATATCGAGATGGCTTTTCACACAAAAAGCGGTAACATTTTCCCCCATAAAAATAATTTAATTTACATAATTTTTGAAAATGTTGTTCATATAATGGAAAATTAGATCCGTACGTTCTTTATTTCAAATAAATATTGCATAATTGATAGAATCAGGCGTTACTTTGCGGAAATCTATTATAATATATATTAATTAATTTGCAACCTTCCGCTAACTAAATACAATGATGTGTCTTACCTAATTTGAAGAGCACCTCCCGCCCTCCCTCAATTGCCTCCACTAATCCCAGCCCACCCACACCCCCACCACTACTCCCACACCATTACTCCCAACACCAATATTCCAGGAAAGACATACCATCGATGATAATACGACACGTGCTTCCCCTGTGCACGAGGCATCCTCAGGTGATGTAGACTACGGTGGCTGACCGCTAAGTCAGTAAGTAAGTAAGTTAGCAGTCAGCCGCTAAGCAATAGGTTTGCGTGTGTACAGTGGACAGCGAGGCGGCGGTGCCGGACGGGCTGGGCGCGTGGGCGCCGGCGTCGCGCTGGCCGCTGGAGGGCTGGTGCGCGGCGCTGCAGGCGCAGCTGTTCCACGGCGCGTGGGAGGCGCGCCACGGCGCCGCGGGCGCGCTGCGCGAGCTGCTGCGCGCGCGCGTCGCACTCGGCGCCGGACAGCACGACGCGCTCACCGCAGACCAGGTGCCGTGCACTACCCACTACGGGCCCGCTACTTGTCTTTACTTTACTTGTGGGAATTATATTTTTTGCGTTGGAGCATGCTACTGGTAACAGATGATAACGAGATGGAACAATGTTAAATCGATTTAAAAAGGTGATTAACGATACAGGAAGCAAATTAAAAAATAACATGCGTGTAGCTCACACGCGACAGATGTGAAACCTTCAAATGAAATGAAATATAAAATGCAAATACTTTACGGCAAATGATATATTTGATATTATAATTTAAACTACAAGCTCGGCGTAAAATATAAGAAAATTTAATTTTATAGTAAATAAATGTAACAATCCTTTATATATATATATATATATATATATATATATATATATAGACACATAGATATTATATTTCTTCTTCGAGTAAAATTATAATAACGCCACCTACTTTACTCTATAGGTAGTCACTTTATACCACAAAACAACAAACAACTGATTGACACCCAAAGTGGTACGTAAAATAGACGCTAGATGGGCTGAATTTATGAAATCATGAATTTTCAATAAATGTTTTTTTCAATATGGTTAATTGCAATTGTTAATTTTTTTACTGTTTACTACCGCTGCCACGTGGCTGCCATTTCTATATGAAAATCATAGATTATGAAAAGTGAACCCTACAGATGGGAAACTCACGAAACTATAGCTTGCGCCACGAATGATAAAAATTCGCAGAAGCGAAAAACAGGTGTCCCCACGTAGTGTCTCCCTGCTTCCCGTCGTCCGCGCATGTACTTGTGTCGTCTTGCGTACTATCGATATCGAAAGTGTTAGCGACCACCTGTTATATAATATTGAAAAAAATTGGAAATAAATCAATTAATTTTTCAATAAACCTGGCACTTACGACTTAAATACTGATATCGGTAATAAGAGCATGAAATACTTTATTTGATTTGTAAAAATTAGCAAGATCTATTGAAAGATGACTGTAATTATGTAAGATAAAAGAGAGGTTCTACTAGTCCTGAAAAAAAACACATGTTTCTTCATAAATTTAAGTATATATATTAAATGAAATAAAAAAAAACAATAACGTCATTAAATACTGTATTTAATACGTTTTCTAACAGTGTATTACACTTCTTTATACATTAACATCCAAAAAATAGTTATTAACAATAAAATCACGTATGTCGTCTTGAGACAAAACAGCAATTACAAATACAAAATATTTTACTTCTTTAAAAGTGTACATAAAATACAGAATATTCTTTAGCAACAATTAAAACCATACGATGATATATAAAAATTCGTCCATTTTCGTGGAGACTTTGATGTGTAGTTATAATGTCGATCTTTGACTTTTTACATATTAAAATGTCATAAATACAATTTGCATTTTTCTGCTTGATTGTACATGCGCAGTAGACGCTAAGTATAAGTATCATCATTCGTGGCGCGCATTTATTTTATTACTTATTTTATTTAAACGACATATTTTAATCCGACCAAGTTTAAAATATTTAAAGAGGTCTTCGACATTATTAATGTACTTTTAAAAGTACGGGACAGCCACAAATTTTTACGACGAGTAGATTAATTTCCCTTGGAATGTTTGTACTCTTTTCGATATACCTTATATAGTACTCACTAATTACAAAAAGATTTATATCAAATTTACCTATTACGAAGTTGAGGTTGCTTGTTTATTCCATAGGTACACGACACCTTCGTACCTTGTTAAAAAAAAACGCGTAAGCGCCGCCGTTTTGACTTTTTTCTCGCCAGCATTGAGCTATAATGCTTCCTATCTCGCTTATATCGCTTTATATCTAATAAAGAAATATTGAGGTGTCAAAAACATTAAATCAAAAGTCTAAAGCGTGTACATTTTTATTTATGTATCTATGAATATGTATGTACATATTATATATTATCTGTATTATATTTTGGAGTATATAAGTCTATTGTATTTGTATATATAATATTAGTTTGTTTTTAAGTTTATCAGTAGTTTTTTTCCTTGTTTTACTCTATTGTTCATTTTATTTTGTCACCTATCACATAATTTCCACACGTCCCGGGTTGACTGGGAGAGAATGCCTAATGGCATTAAGTCTGCCCTTTGTAATCATTTTTATTAAGGTTCAATGAAATGTAAACAAATAAATAAATAAATTCGCTCAGTCTGTCAATACAGCGAAACGGGTTTCTAGTAATAAAAATACGACGTAATTGCTTGTATGTGTGCTCCCGGCTACACCGATCCTCGAACAAAATAAGGTTGACAGCCATTCTATTGTGTCTTATAGTATTCTATGAGTAAATCTATTTAAAGGCACATCACTATATCGGTTAAAACAGTCACAGTTGTCCCATGTTGGGAAAAGTTCATTATTACACAAAAATGGACGTTCAAATTATTTCATAGATCATAAAATATATCGACGTTAGTATCATCTCATCAATTTTGTCAAAAACCACAGATAGTAATAAAGTAACTACAAAAAGAAGCGTACTACTGTCACACGTGCCCCATTGATGGGTAAATATTACAGTCTTCCACCTCAATTAGTTACAATTACCTCAAATTACAAAATACTACTTTTAGATACTAAAATGCATGATCAAACAAACAATCACTTAATAATTGATGTTATGAAACTGTATTCTGTATGTTAAATACTTACAGAGTAGAAGTATTTAAATGTCGATTTAAGTTTTAATTAATTTATGTTACATATATCCCAGGTGACCATATACATAAATATGACGATATATTCTAAAATATAAATAATTATCTTACTTGTATTTTGTCAAGCTCAAGCTACGCTAACTTAAGCTAATGTTTCATACCTTATATGTTTCACCTGTCTATGTAAAGTACGACTGATCCGACTGCTGAACCGACGACATTCTTCGTCCAACTACACTCAGGATGGGAGCTACACATCACCACACAGACGTTTTCTACCGAAGAATTTTTTATTACTATATATTTATTGAGGTTACCTCATTAAATATTATTTACTATAATACTTAAATAAAAAAATATTGTTATACTTATATGATATTTTTTATTTTTTAGTATAAATATTATTCTAGTTTTTGTTTATTTACGCAATATGTTAATTAGGTAAAAAAGTTTTAAATTGAATTTGTGTTTGATGTTGTTAATTAATAAAAATAATTTTTTAATGCCTAGATGGAGGACGCACATCAGGAATGGCTCGAAGACATGGCACTGAGATTACTTTGTGTGTTGGCGCTGGACCGCTTTGGTGACTTTGTATCGGATCAGGTACTATTAAATCTATTTACTGTTCATGATCAATCTGACGTATACGTTAGTTGTAAGTAATCGGTTGTGTGTGTGCGTGCAGGTGGTGGCGCCGGTGCGCGAGACGTGCGCGCAGACGCTGGGCGTGGCACTGGCGCGGCTGCGTGAGGACCGCGTGCGCCTGGTGGCGGCCGCGCTGACTCGCCTGGCGCGCCATCCGCAGTGGGAGGCCCGCCACGGCGCGCTGCTCGCCTTCAAGTACCTGCTCGCCGCAAGACAGGTACTTGATGACAAGTTACCGTGTAGTGGGGGTGTAAAAGTATCTCTGCTACCCCATATCATACCGTAGGTGTCGTAAAGGGCAACAGAAGCCGACTAATATAGGTGATAAGCGTTTTCCTGATATAATTAAAAACTGTGGTTGCAAACCCACTTGCCAAGCGTGACGATAGGAAAAATATTCCTCCCTATGAGGCAATCTTTGGGGGAGACTATGTTTAGCAGTGGAGTATTGTAGGCTGTAATATATAGATAATAGAAATAAAGTGTTTATGGCGTGTGTATGTGTGTGCAGGAGGTGGCGTGCGCGGCGGGCGCGCTGGAGCAGCTGGTGGGCGCGCTGGGCGATGCGGCGGAGGACGTGGCCGGCGTGGCGGCGGGCGCACTGGCGCCGGCCGCCGCTGCGCTAGCCGCCGCGCGCCCGCGCGCTTTGCCCGCCGTGGCGCGTCGCCTGTGCCAGCTGCTGCGCGACCAGGACGATCTCGCCGCGCCCGCCAACGCCTACATGGCACTGCTGGCCGCGCTCGCCGCGCTGCCCACCGCCGCGCGCCACCTGCAGTCAGTATACACACGCGCACACGCACGCTACACACACACACACACACACACACACACACCTGCACTCGCCGTGTACGTAAGAGAATCCACTATCCTATACCATAGTGTGGCTATCGTAAAAGGCAACAGAGAAAAACTGCAATAGAAGATGGCCAGGAGCTCAAAAAATCTACAGTTTTAAGCCCTATAAATCAATCTGTAGAGAAGACCTTTATTCAGCAATCGACTTTTGGTAGACTGAAATGAATTAATAAATGAAATCCGAACAATGTATACATTCACGTACACACATTCTACACCACGAATTAACATTAAAAACAAGAGGAAAAAAAACGGGCGGAATACATATGCCAAAATACTGATTAATAAATTGTCAGTTGCATTCGTATAATGTCATGAAATAACATGTCACTACTTTATATATAATCTTTATAAGAGTGTGGGATACAGGTACTCTCCTTATTCCTGGCTGAAAAACTCAATAAAAAATTGACAAAATCTGGGATCCAAGATCAGCATTCGCGCCTTGAATACTAAACATTAGGCAAATACTGACTTGAGACCATAGAATACTATAATACATACATAATAGAACGGGGGAGTGGGCGGAGCCCGTGTAGCCACTAAAATGTCAATTCACACCTATAAATGTCAACACAATCAATCGTTTCCACTTTTCGTGTCAAGTGTCACTGCATGCAAATTATTTAAAAAATGTGCAATAATTACGTGTCGAAAGAACAGCGGGAAATGGAATTTAAATAAAGGAGACATATCCTACAACCAGTACATCGAAACTATTTATATTTTGTAAATATTAGAAACAAACATAAAGAAATATCAATGTTTACACATTTTAGACTTTTGAAAGTCTAAAATGTGTAAATTCGCTCAGTCTGTCAATACAGCGAATCGGGTTTGTAGTAGTGATAATACGACGTAATTGCTTGTATGTATGCTCTCGGCGACGCCGATCCTCGTACAAAATAAGGTTGACAGCCATTCTATTGTCTATTATAGTATTCTATGCTTGAGACTTTGAAATAAACTTAAACTGAATAATATTGGCTTTTACACTCTTTTGGATCCATTTAATATTGTAATCCTACTTCATATACCAATGTCTGCTAAGATAAATGCGTTAAAAAGAACAATTTATTATTTTCCTCGCAGCCCCATCGACTTATCGGACGTACTTCCACGACTATGGCCGTACCTCGATCATTCGACCAGTTCTGTCCGGAAGGCGACTCTGCAGACACTGCGTACGCTCACTCGTCCACTGATCACAGCCACTGACAATGGTGAAGAACCGAAAAGTACAAATGGACGGAGGGAATCTGACAAAATGGAGGAAGATATCAAAGGTGCCAATGGTGTCGCCAAAACGGAGGTTACACGTTTCTTAGCGTGGACCCCGGAATTATTGCAAGAGGCCATGAGGCATATTTATCAACGGGTTTTATTCGAACATGTTCATGAGATACAAGAAGTTGCCTTGCAGGTTTGTAATTTCCTTAATTTATATATATTATAATTATCCTTATTGAACCTTTTCATTGTTTGCTAATTGAATGGACTGACCATTTGTTTGCTCTAGAAATAAATGTTCAAATTGCTAATGGTGTGTGGAACACAATCTTTAGTTCTATTTTAGATACCAAAGTTTTTTTTAAATGTAAAATAAGGGTGACAAACGAGCACACAGTCCACTGGACGGTAAGTGGATGCTGTGGCCCATAGACATCCACATTTATCTTTAATTCATAATCATTAATATATTTATGATTAATATATTTCATAATTATTAATATATTTTAAATTAAATGTACAATATACTCTTGTGTCAAATGTATAAATGTAAAATAGTAAACGATCATGGCCTTATTATTGTTGTTTATCGCTTACTTAAGTTAGTCATTAACATTATAATATATGTCTTTCTATTGTCCTTTGTTGTATAGAAGATGAGCACAACATTAATTATCTTTTAATTTGACCAAGTGAAATATGTGTAAGACATCATTGCTATTTCATTGGACTGTTTAAAACATTTGTGCTAATCTTCTTTTTATATGTAAACTTGATTAATAATTTTTAAGACAGACCGGCAGGTAAAACAAATAGTGATTAATTACCTTTTTATATTTCCTAATAGTTTCATTATTTTAATATTTATATTTATAAATATAGTATTTAGTATATATAAAATTTATTACATATATAGGTATACATACATTTTATACAACATTATTTATTATTACATATACCCTATATATTTATTTTTTACTATTATTAATGATAATGATTTCTTAAATTTACGCGAACACTACACATTGAATAAAACTATTATTTACGGATTTTATCGCGTTTAATTCAACTTTAATTTATTTTTATTATCCCGACGTTTCGGGTGCTTTACAGCACCCCCCATGACCACGGGTGCTGTAAAGCACCCGAAACGTCGGGATAATAAAAATAAAAAAAGTTGAATTAAACACGATAAAATCCGTAAATAATAGTTTTATTCAATTATTAGTAATAATAGATTAAATGTCATCGGATGAAGACTCATTTCATTCTGCATGTTCTTCTCTTAACATTACCTCAGCCGCAGACGATTCTTTTATCGATAACGTGGGTTTATTTGCACTCGAAATTTGCCTCTACAAATTGTTTAAATGTATGCCATATAAATGCGCAAAGCATCCCTGCCCATTACTCAGATCTACTTGACACATTTTCCTCACCATACATCCATGCTCTACTTATCTCAGAGTCCTGGCTAAAACCCTCCCTATCCTCCACGTTGTACAGTCTTCCTGGATTTGTACTTATACGTTCTGATCGCACTTGCAAAGGTGGAGGTGGCGTAGCCATTTACTTGCGATCGGAATATGCATATGATGTCATTGCAATATCACCACCAGAATATAGAGGATCTGCTGAGTACCTATTTCTAGAAGTAAAAATTAAGGGTTTGAGGGTCGTGCTCGGAGTTGTTTACTGCCCTCCTTCAACTGATTATTTTTCCCATATTGAATCGGTGGTCGACTCCATCAGCACTGATAACAAACATATTATAATAATGGGTGATTTCAACACCAACTTGCTAAAGGATTCTCCTCAGAGTCGCATACTTAAAGCCGTCATGGACTCGGCAGATCTCTATATTCTACCATCTGGTCCAACTCACCACAACGTGGACTCCGAACATTCATGGTATAGACATCATTTGCACTAGTTCAGCTGATCATGTTATATATCATGATCAACTGGCTGTTCCCGCGTTTTCTCGACACGATCTTTTGGTCATGTCGTATAAAATAAAGCCTCCCAAGCCAAAGCCAGTGATCGTATATTTACGCAATTTCAATAAAATTGACACCATTCGACTACACCGCGATGCTAAGAATATAGAATGGGGCCCATTGCTGGATGCAAATAATATTCAAGACAAAATTGCTCATTTGAACACCCAAATTCTCAACGTTTTGGATAGGCACGCACCAGTTCGAGCAGTCAGGTTACGCCGACCTCCTGCACTGTGGATAACTGACACACTGCGTAGAGCAATGAGAAGAAGAGATCGAGCTTTTCACATTTTTAAAAAGAATCGGAACAGTTCCACCTTTCAACAATATAAGCGAGCACGAAACCGCTGTAATCAGGTGTAAGAACAGCCAAACGCCGCTACTTCCACAATAGTATTTCAAACTCCTCTTCTGCAGATATATGGAAGTTCCTTAAATCCCTGGGATTTGGAAAATCACATTCCAATTCTCTAATCCCAAATATTTCACTCAATGACTTGAACATACACTTCTCTTCTGCATCACGTCTCCATTTGTCCACCAAAGCTACGACTTTCCAGGAACTTCATTTCATGCCTTTGTTATCATGTAATTCTTTCGACTTCAGTTCAGTGACTGACAATGATACTAGAAAACCCATACTTTCAATAAAATCTTCCGCAACCGGCTATGACGAGGTGAGTAGATCTATGATACTATATCTATATATATATATATATATATATATATATATATATATATATATATATATATATATATATATATATATAGCATGTACATTTTTGAATTGAATGTGATCATGACAACTTTACTGCCCATGACTCACTCTCTGTTCTACCCAAGGTTAGCTGGTAGAGAATGCCATATAGCATTAAGCTCGCCTTTTGTACAAAATCTTTGGTGCGATAAAGAATAAAATAAATAAAATAATCAAAATGCAGATGCGTTGTCACCCCCGAGGACTGAGATAGAATGCCTCGTTTCCAGTAAAAAGGGTCTCCGGTTCTCTAGACTCACCATACGATACACATCAGCATTTAGCTACTATTTCACGCTGGTATTCTTTGAGAGCGTGGTGCTACTCCGATCGAGCCGACCCGTTCGTGCTGCAACCACAATGTAGCTGCAGCGTGGCTCTACCACGTAAAAGTTAATTTAATCCTGGTCACTTAATGGAATTTTGTTTTTAATTTAGTAGGTTTAAAACATTGAGTTATAATGTACTACGTACTAGAGAAGCTATTCCAAACAAAAATTGTGCGCTACTTCTATGTCTTCGCGCATGCGCGGTAATAGTAGAGTCGCGCATGCGCAGTTGGTATAAACGCGCTTTGCGCTTGCGCGGTCAGTTTTTGTTATTATAGATTATACGTAAGTAGAATGGTCAGTATGTAATAATTGTTTATTTATATTGTATTGTTAATTATATCGAGTACTTACAATTTTTTAAAATGTTTTTTATTTTGTATATGTGCTAATTTAATATAATATTACATAATATTATGTCAGAATTACATTTTGATGATATTGTTATCTGAATATTTTAAAAGGTATCTATGTCAAATATAAAAAAACGTACTAAATGTATGTTTAACAAAACTTATTAACATAAAATTTAAATTACAAATATATTTATTTAAATTAGAATCATAAATGTTGTAAATAATCGTTCATAAATGCTGGGCACGCGAGAGTTAAAAATGGACGAATTTATTCCACTTTGACTTTGAAGTGGAAACCTAAAAATAAAATAAAAGAATAATAAGCAGATTTAAACATGAAAAATTTAGCTTAATTATAATAACTTATATGTTTCTACAAAAAAAATGTGTAGTATAATAATATATTCGTCCTAAACTTAAGTACCCACAGAAATGTCGCATCTGAACATATTAATTTCATAATCTATATTCAATGATACGAGATGGCGTCTTAGGAATAATTTGCTTTATTATTAATTTATAATACTTTTTTATTGAATAAGTATCTTATTAACCGATGAAAAGTAATTCCTTGGTTTTTACTGACATTTCTTGAATTATTTGTGCAATATCTAAGTACACAAGACGGCATATTTTTATCAAGAGATTTTTTTTAAATCAACACAACACGTGACAACTCTACAAGCGCCTAGCGAGTGACTGATTAAAGTGCAGTGCATGCACCGCAGTTGAGTGGAACAGAGTAGCTGAATGCAGTGTCTCCTCTAGTACGTAGTACATAATAGCTCAATGGTTTAAAATAACATATTGGTGGTTGACAAACAAAATTTTAAATTCTTATTTCAAAAAATAAAATAAAATTTTAACCTTTTCTTTATAAGATGTATATTGATTGCTCCGTGGCGCATTGATTTGCCTCAAATTCAAATCCCGCACTGAAGAAGTAGCACCGAAAATTCTTTTTTTTTTCTGCCTTTTTTCTTCCTTTTTCCTTGTGCAATTGATGTATAATACTTCCACTATATATGAGAAAATCCTTGGTGGGGAAATCACATTTGTTTTGTGTCATCTCTGCAGCATAGTGGTCTCGTTAGTTTAATTTTTTTTGTCCCCCATAAATAATATCTCTTTGTTAAAAAAATCTCTACCTGCAATTCTCTTTCAAGTTTATTTTAAAACATTTGATTTTTTTAATTTCAGGTATGGGAAAACCTGCTTAAACATGCAGCACTGGACGTGATCCTTGTGGCAGCTTGTCCTATGCTAGCCACGTGGATGTGTCTTGCGATGCAGCCAGCCAGGCTGCCCGTTGACCCCGCCTTGTTACTTTATACGCCGCATAAAGTAAGTTTCTTGACAAATTTGTTTGAGCGTTTTTTCTGCTTAGAAGACACACATCAATACAGTTAAGAGTAAGACAACCAAACTGATATTCCCCCAAAAAAGATCAGATGCCTGAGCATTTAATGCGGCGTTGTACCACCAAGTCGTCTCTGGTCCGTCTTCTGCTGGCGTTGACTTCGGGTACGGACACCCTCCATCTCGTCCTTAGGTAAAATCGGCATGATTTTATCCCACTTCTGACACCAATTGTTACGAGCTTGAGGTTCGTGACAATAAAAACTGCCAATTGAATTACTAAAATTAACACTTTAATTCACTTTACACTAATTAAAACTTAAAAGACACTAATAATTAATCACACTGATTCACTATATTTCGCTCCGAAGCTTCGCTTGTCTCGCCAAATTCAATACCGCTGTGGCCGTGGAAGGAAAGGGGGAGATTTGCCGCCGGGCAAGGTGTTCCGCCCGGGGAGCGGCCGACACTCCGTGTGATAGTTCGGAGATGTTCTATATATACTGTTTATGATTCGGAATTCTGATAGCGTGATTGAGGCTTCGGTGTGTTTCACTTGCGGCGCGACGACAGCGCCGCCACACCACCGATCGTGGCATGCAGCGGGTTTAAATACACGTTTACACCGAAACATTCAGAAAATCCCTTTAGATACGGGCGCCGACCGACCAGATGCAGAAAGTTAGAGTGTGGGACCTTACACTTCATAGCAAAGATACTACTAGTAAGAGGACAGTGCCTTAGGCTGTTTGTCTGAAAACAAAAAAGGACAGCTACTAATCAGAGGCATTATTGAGGTGCAAAAAGTGCCAGAATGAAGAAGTTCGCATAAGGGTTTGTCTAATTTATAAAATTATGTTGTACAGGAGCGGCGAACCCGTTCAAATTGTCTGCAGCAGGACAGCGATATGCCGGCGGAAGTGCGTCCCTGCCAGAAGTGGTTCGTCGGCGGCAGCGAGTCGCAGCCGGCGGCCGCGCGGGACCGCAACGTCACGCGCGCGCGCTGCCTCGCCGCGGACGTACTGGGTCAGTAGCACACAATCCACACCTGCTATATGTGGCTGAAGTGACAACAAGTTTCTTACGTGGTAGAGCCACGCTGCAACTATATTATAGTTGTAGCACGAATGGGTCGGCTCGACCGGGGCAGGACCACTCTCACAGAATACCAGAGTAAAATAGCAGCTTAATGCTGCTGTGTTTCGTAAGGTGAGTGTAGAGAACTGGAGACCCGTTTTACTGGAATCGAGGCATTCCATCTTAGTCCTCAGGGGTAACAACGCATTTGCATTTTGATTCTTAATTAAGGATAAATGTGGATAACTATGGGTCACAGTAACCACTTACCATCAGATAGACTGTGTGCTCGTTTGTCACATACTATTAAATTTATATTGCTAATGCTATTAAAATTATATTTGTCACTCATAAATTATTACTGTTATACGTTTAGTATATCTATACAAATAAATAAAATTTAAGTGCCTGTTTGTAATTTCAAAATAACGGCTTTTACTAAATGCTTATGAAAGTATATACCGTAATTATATATTTTTTTTAAATTTTATCTGTCCGTAAGGCATTTAGTTCCGACTAATCTCCAAAATGGCCGAACTGATTCTTTCCTACTTCTACTGGCAGATAGCTGATGTTTTAAAGAGTAACACTTAGGCTACTTTTATTATTAAAAAATTAGGGTTCCACGCAAAAAAAAAAAAATTAAAAACCCAAGAACTCCAATTGTAACTCCATTTATATTTATTTATATTAATTGAACAGCTAGTTTTCAATAAGAAAAAAATCAGTGTGCACAAACAAATAACAGAAACATTCCCAAATTTTTGTTTTGTTCATTATCGTCGTCAGTGTGTAAAAGTCCAATGTTGAACATTGTGAGAACAATTTTGTCTCTCCCTCTCCCGTTGTATGGAAGATTGTTGAAATTAAGCTTGCTTGGCAGACGGATGCTCCGTCCCGTTATCGAGTGAAATACCCACATGTGAAATACTCTGGGTATTTCATCATCATTACAGCCCTTCACAAGTCCACTGCTGAACATAGGCCTCCCCCAAGCAACGCCACAAAGCACGGTCCTGAGCCACCTGCATCCATCGACTTCCTGCATGTCTTAACAGGTCGTCACTCCATCTAGTGCGGGGCCGCCCTACACTACGACTACCGGTACGAGGCTGCCACTCGAGAACCTTTCTTCCCCATCGGTTATCGGTTCTTCGAGCTATATAGCCGGCCCATTGCCACTTCAGCTTACTAATCCGTTCGGCTATGTCGGACACTCTGGTTCTACTGCGGATATCCTCATTTCTGAGTCTATCACACAGAGAAACTCCGAGCATAGCCCTCTCCATAGCTTGCTGAGCAACCTTGAGCGTCCTCATACCACGTCTCTGATCCGTAAGTCATCACTGGCAACACGCACTGGTTGTACACTTTAGTTTTCAGAGATTGAGGTATACCTGACGTGAAGATGTGTCGTAATTTCCCGAACGCTGCCCAGCCGAGTTGAATCCGTCGATTGACCTCTCGGTCGAAGTTGGACTTACCTAGTCGGACTATTTGTCCCAGGTAAACGTACTCCTCAACAACTTCGAGCATAGTGCTCCCAACAACTACCGACATAGGTGTGACATGGACATTAAACATGATCTTTGTTTTGTCCATGTTCATCTTAAGACCTATCCGTTGGGAGACACCATTGAGGTCATTGAGCATAGTGCTAAGGTCCTCCAGCGATTCTGCCATAAGGACTATATCGTCGGCAAATCGAAGGTGAGTGATGTACTCGCCATTGATGTTAATACCGTATCCTTTCCAGTCCAGTAGCTTGAAAACGTCTTCCAACGCAGCGGTGAAGAGTTTCGGGGATATAACATCACCCTGTCTTACACCTTTCTGCAGTTGGATACGCTTCGAACTCTGGTTCTGTACTCGGATAGCCATCGTAGCCCTACTGTACAAACACTTCAGCACTTCGATATACCGACAGTCAACTTGGCACCGCTGAAGGGACTGTAGCACCGCCCAAATTTCGACGGAATCAAAGGCTTTCTCATAGTCCACATACGCCAGGCAAAGTGGCAGATTGTACTCCTCGGTCTTCTGTACAATCTGCCGCAGGGTATGTATGTGGTCTATGGTACTGAAGCCTTTTCGGAAACCGGCTTGTTCGGGAGGCTGGAAGTCGTCGAGTCTGCGTGCGAGACGATTCGTAATGACTCTCGAAAACAGCACGTAGACGCGGCTCAGAAGGGAAATCGGTCTGTAGTTCTTCAAGAGAGCGTTGTCGCCTTTCTTAAAGAACAAGACCACCGCACTTCTGCTCCACGCCTCCGGAGTAGTGCCACCATGGAGGACGGAATTGAAGAGCTTCTGAAGGACTTCAAGTGCCGGTGTTCCACCCGCTTTCAGAAGCTCCGCTGTAATTCCATCCTCGCCTGGGGCCCTGCCGTTTTTAAGGTGCTGGAGAGCCATTCTAATCTCGCTCAGACTGACGTCCGGGATATCATCGGAATAGTGTCGGGTAAGACTTGCTCTTGAATCGTTACTCACACTTGCGTGTGGCTCCAACGATGATGTGTACAGCTGCCCATAGAACCTCTCAATCTCACTCAAAATCTCAGGTGTCTCGGAAACGATGCTGCCACACTCAGTCTTCAGCTTTGACAGTTGGCTCTTACTGGCAGACAGATCTCTGGCAAAGACTTTGGAGCCCTGGTTCCGCTCGATCGCTTCTTTAATACGAGCAGTATTAAAGTTGCGTAAGTCTCGCCGCATGCATTTGGAGATCTCTCTGTTCAGTTGCCTGTATGCTGTCAAATCTGTTGACGATTGCAGCCTCATCTCCCGTCTAACAGCCATGAGATTAAGAGTGTGATCGGAGAGTTTTTGTGTTCTTCTGCGACGGGTCTTGCAGAACTTAGCTCCGACCGCATGGACAGTTTCCACGAGCTTGTCATTCATATCGTCCACTGCATTGCAATCTTAAATGGTGAATTGCATTGTCTTAGCGTAACGAAAGCCTATTCAAACTTGCCTGCTGCTATTAAAGAAAGTTACAGATATTCGTGTTTCAAAACTTGCGACGTAAATACGTGCAAATAAGTATTTTATGCTATGTATTTTATTCTATGCTCTTATTTCATGTATTTTATTCTATGCTCGGAGTTTCTCTGCGTGATAGACTCAGAAATGAGGATATCAGCAGTAAAACCAGAGTGACCGACATAGCCCAACGAACTAGTAAGCTGAAGTGGCAATGGGCCGGCCATATAGCTCGAAGAACCGATAACCGATGGGGGAAGAAAAGTTCTCGAGTGGCAGCCTCGTACTGGTAGGCGTAGTGTAGGGCGACCCCGCACTAGATGGAGTGACGACCTGGTAAGAGTGGATGGATGCAGGTGGCTCAGGACCGTGCTTTGTGGCATTACTTGGGGGAGGCCTATGTTCAGCAGTGGACTTGTGAAGGGCTGTAAGAGAATGATGATGATGAAGTATTTTATAGTCAACCAAATCTAAGAAATACCTTTTGACGTTTCACATTATTCCGCAATAACTTTGCACAAGTCCTCACACTATTTAAAATAACCTTTTACGTAAATCCGAAGAATTATGAAGCTAATCTATATTTCATTACAACGTGTACAGTTTTTTATCATTAATTTAAATCTTTCAAACAAAGCAAAATATTTAAAAAAATACCCAGTATCAACTTTTTTACTTGATGTCGTTTTAATGATATGTCGCTATGTACCTTACCGTAGTGTTTGGATGATTAAAATTAATTGTTATGCGAATAATCGGCAAAAATATTCAAAAAAATCGATAAAAATATTCAAATCATCGATCCACTAATTTTTTTAATGTATTATTTGTGTAATTAAATTTTTATTTTCAAAATTCCTTAAATTACATGAATCATAAATAAAACAAGTTTAGTTTTTTTACTTTCACAATGTGAATTTGTGTAGGCAAATACTTTACAAATACGAGGCCGCAAGGAAGAAACGACTACTTACTGTGCCTAATTTTGTGATTTTGTGTTTGTCTTCTTATTTTGTGACTCGGTTTTAACTTTTTGGACTGCTTCCTCTATATTGGTTAAAGCATGTGCACATGTCACAAAGGATGATTAGGCAAACGTGGTAACAAACAACAAAAAAATTGATTATGGATGATTATGATGAAATTGATTTATTGTACATATATATGTTTATATGTATGTATATATCTATGTATATATATATTATAAGTATGTACATAAATATATATATTTATAATCATTAAATATTGTATATATTATTAATATATTTTTATAAACATTATTCTTAATAAATTTTTTTTATGTTTATTTCATATTGCACGTTGCACCTATCCGTCAAAATATAAAATTATAATGTCCATTTGTGTTCGGTTTGTCAGGCAGAAATCGCTTAAAGCGATATGACCACCGTTTGTAGTCATAAGTTTTCCGTTATTGCAATAACTTTGTTCAAATGCAATAAAGAATTATCTATCTATCTATTATGGATGACTTTGAAAGAGACATTAATTTTGAGTGCATTATTGAAAATAAAATAATAGTTAATCTAAACAAAGACAGCTCAACTAATTGTACTGAAAGTGATTGAATAACTTATTTTTAATCTAGTTTGAATCTTAAATTTTTATAACTTTGCCTCTAGAAATAAGCAGTAACAAAAAATTACAAAGAAACCAATAAATTTTGTGTTTTAAATTATCCGTTTCTAATTTATTCTGGCATTATTCAAACCAAACTGTAAATAATTACCAACTCTAAATAATCGATATCGATTTTTTAAGAATCGAATATTGTACGTTTCCTTTTTTTTTTTTGGTTGGCATGCTTGGTGCAATAAGTCTGACAGCTGTCAATATGTATTTCGTAAATTTGGTTAATTATAAGCACTGATCATAATATGAGTTTGAATATCTATTCAATGACAACAAATTGTATTGGGATATTTTCACTGACATTTTATCTAGATATGTCGTTCCACTCCTACTTCATCCATAAATAATTTGCCCGTCATCTCTTCGCCATAAATTATCGATTTCGCCATAAAATACTAAACGTGATGTAACCACACTGCAACTATATTATAGTTTTCGCCCGAATAGGTCGGCTCGGCCGGGGCAGGACCACGTTCTCACAGAATACCAGCGTAAAATAGTACCTTAATGCTGCTGTGTTTCGTATGGTTAGTGAAGAGAACCGGAGACCCTTTTTACTGGAAACAAGGCATTCCACCTTAGTCTTCATGGGTGATAACGCATGTGCATTTTGATTCTTAATCGAGGATAAATGTAGATGGACTATGTGCTCGTTTGTCACCCCATTCTATAAAAAGGATGAGGTACTCAATTCGACTGTATGTTTTTTTATGTGTGTTACCTCAGAACTATTTCTGGGTAAAGCGATTTTGATGATTCTTTCTTTATTTAAAAGATAGTGCTTCTTGTGTGGTCCCATATAATTTTGATCAAAATATGACGAGTAGTATTTGAGTTATCCTTAAATAATGCGTACTTAATTGACTTCGAATACATTGATGATATTCTCATTTTATTTATATTGAAGTTGGTTGTACAAAATTTTTAATTTTACCACTTATAATTATTTACAGGACACTTGTCTTGCTATCTAGTCCAACCAGCACCTGGTATTGAGTATAAAGCAGAGGACGAAAGCCCAATAGATTGTTATGTTAAGGTAAATTTTATTTATAACATTTATTTTTACTTTTCGTCAAGTACATTGTTGATTAATTTAATTAAAGATATTTCAATAAAATTTTAAGATGTTAAAGATATTTATGTAAAATTATTTTGCTTAAATTTAGTGCTGTTTCATCAAAAAAATGGGCTTAACAAGTATCTTTCCTACTTAGCAAAACATCCATGTGTTCGAAACGTTTACAGTGAATTTCATTAATTAATTTATTTATTTATATAATTAGGACCATCAATAGTAGATACATTGTAAGACTATATTAAAATAAATAATTGTTAAATATGTATTCCTAATTCAAACTGGACACAACTTTTGCGGCGAACATAAATGGGAACAATAAATTCGTAAATAAGCTTATTATATTTTAAAATATAGCTTTATTGCTTGTAGATTAATTGAGAGTTTTTAACAATATTAGAGAGCGTTGTATATTTTATTATTCTTTTTAAGGTAATGGTAGTATACCTGCGTTCAGGCAGCGCTTTACAAAGGCTCGTGGCTAGTCTAGTCGTGTCCGCCTGGGCCCGATACACACTCAAGTGTAAAATGTATCCACCAAATATTCACGCCAATGGAAGCATTAATGGAAACAAGGTATTTAATGCTAAGTTTTTAGAATTGTTATTGTTTTTTAATTATTTGGATTCTAAGATACTAGATGTTTGTTAAGGTAAACTAGGTTACCATGGGACTGACGTGACCTGAAGATAAAAAAGTTTTTTGTGGTTTATGACTAGTGATCGGATAATCGGACCTATAGTGTAGGTGTTCCCTATTATGGAATGCACTTTACTATTGTATCGAAAAAACCCCGGGATTTCGGAATCGACAAATTTAGTTATTTTTTACTATAGAACTAAATTAGGTGTAAATATATTTACTTATTTTAAGGTGTTGAATAATATGGAATGCACTTATGTATCGAAAAAATCCCGGGACTTTGGAATCGACAAATTTACTGTTTTTTATTATAGAATGCCAAATCTGGTGTAGGTATATTTACTTATTTTAACTTTTATGTATAATAAAAACTAGAAATAATAACTTCCTCATAATTTTTTTTAAATTAACACCCACTGTTTTTTTTAACAAATACCACATGCAATAGTCGACGTTTCCTCACCATGGTACAGACTATTTCCGCGTTTCCGTATCTTCTGGGATCCCTGGATTTATATTTTGAAAAAAATGTTTTAAGGAGCCACTTCCATAATTTCCTAGCCAAAAATGAACTTTAGGTAAATATGCATCCGATTAACCGATCACTATTTATGACAGATGTAAAATAACCGTGAATTGATTTTTTAGTTATTGCTAATAATAATAAAGTACGTAAAGGGTTCCCGATTATTTTTTATAGAAAAGCTGCTATTTTACGCTGGTATTATATGATAGTGCGGACCTTCCCTGGTCGATACGAACCATTTAATGTAGTTGCAGCATAGCGCTATCTTTATATAAAAAAATAATTGCTATCCGTTAGTCTTGCTAAAACTCGCAACTGGATCGACCGATTCTGATGAATTTTTTTGTGTGTGTTTGAGTGGGTCCCTGCATGGTTTAGATCCACAAGTGGACCCGGTAGGTGGAGCTGTTGTCGAGATCCAGAAATCTCCCGTGTAAAGCCGGGGCGAGTAGCTAGTCGTATATAAAACTGTATACAAATGCCCACTAATATACATGTTTATAACCTTCCGAATATGTCGAATCTGTTTCGCACAGATTGGGGCGTAGGGGCGTATTCGGATACGAACGCATGTTTGTAATTCTTCCAAAACATGCGTCCGTATCCTCGAAAAATTCAAGCAAGGAATTTAGGAGGTTACGATAATGAAGGAGAATAAAAGTAAAGAATAATAATATAAATCAAATTGTACGCACCATTAGAGCCGACATTAGATGCGCCAACATACTAGTCGTTTTGAGGCCCTCGCTGTTGTTGTCAAATAAAATTAACAACGGTCACAGTATGTTCCAAAATAGAACCCAATGTACTGTCCAATGCAAGTGACGTCATGAATCGACGCTATACTGGTGATTCGTTCCAAAACATAGGACAATATATGACGTCAAAAAAAAAAAAAAAAAAAAACACCGAAAAAAAGAAACCACAAAAAAAAAAAAAAAAAAAAAAAAAAAAAAAAATAAAAAATAAAAAATAAAAACCTTCCTCCCCCCCCCCCCCCCCCATACGTTTGCGCCATATTGGAAAAGTGTTGGCGATTATTTTATTCATTTTGTGCTCCAAAAATCATTATATCCTCCTAATGGAGATACCAGCAATTATTTATATTTTTTTTGTATATTAATAAATAAAAACAAATTGCATGCTTCATTCAGCGCACACACAATTAAAAATCGTTTTATTGTGGCCGGATATCCGACACAATATGGCGGCGACTCGCCAGTACAATATGGTGTCAATTGATGACGTCATTTGTATTTGCCAGTGTACTGAAAACGTTTCGGAACATACCCATAGAGTTTTATTTCAATTTATCTATATTATGATGATGGCTCCGTGGCGCAGTGGCGTAGCGATGAGTTACAGCGCTAAGGGCCGCGGGTTCGAATCCCGCACTAAACAAGTATTTGTATGGCCTACAAATTATTGTTCCGGGTCTGAATGTTTGTACTTGTGAAATTTATGTTTTTAAACTGCCCCACGATACAGGAGAAAATCCTAGTGTGAAGGTAACGTTTAAAAAAAATATTTCTTACAAGGCGTTAGTGAATAGTATTGGAATAATTATTTTGATTAAGTGTTTTAAACAGGTATAGTAAAATAGCTTTTGCCTGGGAGCTTCGCCGGCGCAAAAACAAATTCTATGATAGTTGGTGTACTTTAAAAAAATTAACTGTTTATTATTATATTTTTATAGGAAGAGGATGGTGAGTGTGAGCAACAAATGGACATATCCAAGTTGGCACCGCCATTGCTCGTCAACACACTACATACAGCGCTTAATCAAGCTCTCTACTACGACGAAGTAGCACTTAATTGTAATCGGTGAATATTTACAAGTTTATTTTTATAGTAAAAAAGACAACATTTTTCTATTGAGTCTCTTACAGCTCTCGCAGTGCCATTTTTGCAATGAAATTTTTTATGATAAAGGAATATAATCTGAAAAATCACGATGCGTGTTTTCAATATAAAAAAAAAATATTATTCAATGATTTACTGTTGTTTAGACGTCCGGCCTAGGCTAACTGGAATACAATGTCAAAAAACAGACATTTGTATTACTTTTTATAAAATGTGCACACGAATTTGAATAAAACTTACACAAATGTATGTAAATTTTATTCAAATTCTCATTAGCTTATACGAGGGGTGATCCAAAAGTAATGATAATCGGTTACTTCAGGTCCGCATAAAAATCCAATAAAAATATTTTATGCTTGCTTATATACTCACTACGTCAGCCTAAAAAAATCATATAAATAGATCACGATTTCCGGGAGATACATTCATTTGAATACGAACTGTCAAAGAGATAACATCAACATGGAGAAAAACGAAATTATAGCTGTCATCAAGTACCTCTGTTTGAAAAAAATGTCTTCAAAAGACATACACAGTGACTTAGTGGAAACATTGGGGGACTCTGCTCCTCCATATTCTACAGTTGCACGCTGGGCCAAGGAGTTTAAACTGGGCAGAACATCCACTGAAGATGAACACCGCGAAGGACGCCTATCCACGTCCCTCACTGAAGACAACGTGAAAAAAGTCGAAGATGTTGTGTTGGCAGATCGAAGAGTGACCATCAGGCATATAGCTGAGGTCACAGGGATCTCATATGGCAGCGTTCAAAGAATCCTTGCGAACGAGTTGCATATGAAAAAGGTCTCTGCGCGTTGGGTACCCAGAATGTTCACCGACGAGCAAAAGAAAAATCGAGTTGACATTTCGAGGGTCAATCTCGAAAAGTTCCAAGCAGATCAAGAAAATTTTTTGTTTCGTTTTGTGACTATGGACGAGACCTGGATCCACCATTTTGATCCTGAAACGAAACAACAATCTGACAATCACAAAACATAACAAAACTGACTTGGAAGCGAGCCTCCTCACCGACGCCATAGAAATTCAAAGTTTCAAGTTCGGCGGGAAAGGTTATGGCATCTGTTTTTTGGGACGCTCAAGGCATAATTATGGTGGAATATTTGGAAAAGGGAGCCACTATTACGGGCTCTTACTACGCAGATCAAATAAGAAGATTACGGGAGGCATTAATGACAACGCTCCGGCTCACAAAGCCACAGTTGCGATGGCTGCCATTCAAGAAACGGAATTCGAACTACTCGAACACCCTCCCTATTCGCCAGATCTAGCTCCTAGTGACTTCTACCTCTTTCCTCGGCTCAAGGAACGCCTTCGAGGCAAGAAATTCGAAGACAAAGAATTTTTTTCAAAGGGAATCCTGGGTTTAGAAAAAAGATGGACTAAACGTATTGTTTGTTAGGACTATGTAGAAAAATAAATTATTATTTTAACTTTAATTACCGTGTTTTATTTTCATTAATGGAAGGTTATTATATTACTTTGGCACCAATGTTTTATATTCTTCATCCGGAAAGTGGTAACTAACTACCGATTTTATATAAGTATTCTTTATCTATTTGTATTATCAATTTATAAAAATCATTCATTCAACTTTGATCGGGAATGGTCCTAATTCCTGCCGCTCAATTTCGCTATCGCACATCGTGACAATACTCACATCACCCATACCATCTGGATAATTGGCAGTCCACTAATGTGAGATTTATTAGAAGTTTACTTGCTCGCACAATTTCCTTGTGGAATCGACTACCACCACTGATATTTCCCGATCGATACCGCTTAGGGATCTTCAAGAAAAGAGCTTACTCTTTTGTAAAAGGCCATCAACGCATCTGCGATTCCCCTGGTGTAGTTACTTACCCATCAGGTGAGCCACATGCTCGTTTGCCGCCTCTTATATAAAAAAATGTAGTTTGATTCTACTTTGTGTGTCACACAGGAGAATAGCAAAAAAAATCTTTTATTATATATACTTTTCAGAATATTACAAGAAGCTCGTGATCTACTGGCTATGATGAAACACTACAAGCTCCCGGTCGATGGTGAAGAGTTTAACAACATACTAAGACTGGAACAGGTGATATTTTTTATAGTTGTTGATTATAGTTTTGATTTCTTTAAATTTAAGGCAATATAATACTATAAACAGTATAAAACGACATTTCAATAACAGTTTTATCATTTATCAGTTTAATACTTTAAATAAACGTTCCTAGCAAGATGTACACAACTTGTTCTGATTTGTGCAGAGTAATGTCAAAGTCAAAGTTAGATTAAAACACAGCACCACTCTTATAGCTCATAATCATACATTTCTTCTTAATATTCAGAGTTAGACGTCGACCCATAATAACAACTGTAAATGTTCCCAAATTTTAATATTAGCAAAATATATGTCTTAGGGTGCCTTCAAATTAGAGGCGTGAGGAAGCGCTGCGGTGGTGTTACCAAAAATAAGCGCTACAGTGGTGCGACTATGTCGCAGTAGCCGCGCGTCAGTATTGCTTCGGTAAATTGTAGTGATTTTTGAACTTTGAAAAATTGCAAATTTCAAAATAAGTTCAAATAAAAACATGCTGTTTTTTTTTCAAGTATTTAGCATCAGCTTGTAGCCCTACGAGTTTACACCACTCTTATCAACGAGGACTTTCAACCATTTACGGGATTGTGAATGAAACATGTCAAATAATCTTCGAAATTCTAAATGCTAGTTATATCCCGAAACTAAGTCAAGATGACTGGTTAGGTGTTGCAGATGGATTCTTCAATAAATCCAACTTTCCTAATTGTTTAGGTGCCATAGATGGTAAACATATACGAATCATCCAACCAGAGTTCTCCGGGTCTTTTTATTATAATTATAAACATTATTTTTCTATTGTTCTTTTAGCTGTATGTGATTCTTATTATTGTCTCACCTATATAGATGTTGGGTCTTACGGCAAAACTGCGGATTTACAAATTTTCAAAAATAGTGACTTCTATAGAAAACTTCAGAGAACTACGCAAAAATGACGTGCGTGTGTCACGGTAGTGGCGCTGCAACTGCGCTTCTAGAAATTGTATAAAAATTGGTAGTTACGCGGCTAGCGCACCACAGTAGCGCCCCTGCAGCGCTTATTCACGCCTCTAATTTGAAGGCGCCCTTAAGGTTTAATAATTGATGATTGTATAAAATAAACGGATCACAATGATTCTGTATTTCATAAGCTACGAGCAATCCTAGCAAAATTTTCCCTCATCAAGAGTAAAGAAGTTGAGTATCAGAACTATTGTTCCTATATAACTCACTCGGCGAATCAATCGTTTCGTACGAGTGGTGCAAATACGGACGTGCATATAAAATCCACCTTGAAGAAATGTACAAGCTCCAATAATTGCGCATCCTTAAATGTATCACCCCTATCAAAATCAAAGACAAGTATAAAAAAAAACCTAACGGTCTTTTCCATTATTGCAAAATAATACCAGTATACATCTTTTTTTTTTTTTATAGAAGAGGGGGGCAAACGAGCATGTGGCTCACCTGATGTTAAGTGACTACCGCCGCCCATGATCAACCGCAACACCAGGGGAATTGCAGGTGCGTTGCCGGCCCTTTAGAAAGTAGTAAGCTCTTTTCTTGAAGGTCCCCAGGTCGTATCGGTCCGGAAAAATCACCAGTGGTAAATTATTCCACAGAGAGGTTGTACGCGGAAGAAAACTCCTTTTGAAACGTACAGTGGTGGACCACCAAGCATCCAGATGGTGTGGATGGTATCGGGACGTTTGCCGTGTAGTGCGTTCACGAAATTTGGCGGCTGGGATTAATCCGAACAATTCCTCAGAGCACTCCCCGTGATATATGCGATAAAATACGCAAAGAGATGCAACATCTCTTCGCAGTGCCAGTGAATCGAGCCGATCGGAAAGCACTCGGTCGTCGACGATTCGAGCCGCTCTGCGCTGGATGCGGTCAAGTGGAAGGAGCTGGTACTGGGGAGCCCCAGCCCAGAGATGGGAACAGTATTCCATGAGCGGCCGAACCTGCGCCTTGTAAAGTTGCAGGCGGTGTGCCGGCATGAAATACTGTCCCGCTCTGCTGACCACGCCAAGCTTTTTAGAGGCCAATTTGGCCTTCTCTTCCAAGTGACCACGAAACTGCACGTTACTCGATATGTCGACGCCGAGGATTCCGATACTGGCTGAGGCAACAAGGGGAGTGCCTTGAAACTGAGGGGATACGACAAAGGGGTTCTTTTTAGCGGTTAACGCGCAAACTTGTGTCTTCTGGGGGTTAAACTGGACTAGATTTAGTCGCCCCCAATCCGAGACTCTGTCCAGCAGAGACTCGACTTCAGACACAAGTTTGTCCCGGCACTCAGAGACGTTTTCCCGAGAAATATTGGCTCGGCCGGTGTAAAGAGCATCACCAGTGCTGTCATCTGCATAGCAATGAATGCTACGGGTTTGCAACATATCATTGATATGCAGAAGAAACAGCATTGGCGATAGCACGCAGCCCTGTGGAACACCAGCATTAATAAGCTTGCAATCGGAGCTTGCACCGTCTACAACGACCTTGATGCTCCGATCTGCAAGAAAGCTGGTGATCCAATCGCACAATTTCTCGGGAAGCCCATAGGAAGGGAGTTAAATACATATTGCTACTTGAAAATTATAGCACACGGGTGAATTAAACAAAGCTTAATCAACTAACCATCAATCTTTAAATGATTATACCAAAATATAATAATAAGTATGGAAAATTTAGTTTAAAATATCAAGTTCCCGCTCTTTCGAAACGAATTCCAAAACCAATAAAACATGAAATAACTGAAAGAAATATTTTATCGACAAATTGTTAACAAATACCTACTAATAATTTACACCAAAATGAAATTATATCTACTAATACATACATAGATATATACCATTATATCCAAATTACTAATCACTCACTAACTATGCTTTGCTTTAGTAAAGCCTCCATTCACGCTCGTAGTGCATGATGTACAGTGTATGTACATTTTTCAAAGAGTAGATATCCAAAATTTATATTTTAGTTCAAATATATAACTAATAATATACCATTATTGCAGTAATTGAAAATACGAGTAAATAAGGCTTCTACTTTTATTTGAAATTATCCCAAATTGAATGTGATTTATGAACAACAAGTACGCGTACGCGTGGTGCTCTATGTGCGATTTACAAATCACAACGTTTTTTACCGACCAAGCGACCCTTACGAATGTGTGCGTAAGATATTCACGAATGATAATCATTTAAAATAATGAATTACCATGCATTCCGTATTTTACAATAAAAAGAATAGAAAGTTTGAGTTTTTTTCAAATAAAATTTTCTTAACCATTCGCCTGTATTATTTATTCTGAACCTTCTCTGCAAATTTGGGCCTATATTGTAAAATAACCCTGCACATATGGTTTGTGGGACTGGATGTTGTGGACGAAATTCGGTCTGTAGGATATTATTATTAATTATGTCTTAAATAATTACTTTTTAGTAGTAGTTTGTAGTAATAGTTGCATACTTTGTTGTTAACATAAATTCTATAAGAAATAAATATTTTAAAACTTCATAAATCCAGCAAAAATATATATGAATATATTGAATATAATTAATTAAAACAAAACAATTTATGATTTCATTGTGTTTATGTTTATTCAGGTGGTTCACATGACAAATGTGACGCAACCAATGGTAGCGGCGATGAAGTCAAAACGCGTTTCACAAACACTGGAGGAGCGACGGAAGAGCTTGCAGACCTCCGTCAATCAGTGCACAGTTGAACAGAGCACCTTAAACGTATCGTAAGTGCCTGGACTTTGATTTATTGTTAGTCTCATTTTTTAGTTTGTTACTCTTGTTACCTAAGTGAAATAATGCCTACAATCGAGCGTATTCTCAGATTGCTTAAGCAGTCCATTTTAGGCGCGCGTTTAGTGTCTTTCAAAGCTTTTTAACACTGTTTATGTAAATAGAATTTTTGTATACACTTGTATATTTTTTTATTTTTTAGTATAGGTACTTAGTTATAGGATAAAAAGTTGCTTATGTTATAGTGTAATTTATATGTTTATGGCTTGTGAGACTGATTGGGTCTTTACCTATGAAATTGCCGTTTTTTATGAAATAAGTTAACATAATTTATTTTCTATCTTATACATGCAATCGATGCATCTTTGCCAATGCAATGTCAGTTTATTGATGTCCTTCTTGAAGAAATCAGCTTGACGGGAGGCAACAAATTCCTCAAAGGTATTTTGTATTCCCCCCTCGGGTATCGAATTATTTTCCCGCCGATAAGTTATCCAAATTCTGCAAAAAGTAGAAGTCTGTAGGCGCAAGGTCTGGTGAGTATGGCGGATGACGGAGAGCTTCCAAATCCAGCTCTTGTAACATGGAGACAGACGACGGTGCGGTATGAAGTAAGCAGGGACGAGCGATTGACCAAAGCTGGTTGAAGACGTGCGAGCTTCTCCATCATTGTGTTCAGTTCTTCAAAGTACACATCTGCAGTAATGCTCATCCCGTTTGACAAGAAGCTGTGATGAATCACACCGGCGCTAGATCACCAAACAGTGACCATTACTTTTCTAGGGGTAAATCTTCGTTTAGAGCATTGTGCAGGTGCTGAACCATGATCCAAATAATTTACTGAGTGCTTACGATTGTTTAACAGAACCCATTTTTCGTCGCAAATGTGGTTCATAATTCCATCGTTTGTGCAGCGCTGGCGATCATTGAGTTCGTGGGACACCCATTTGTCAAGCTTTTTTACCTTGCTAATTTGACGCAAATGGATCAATATTATTTTGATAACGTCGAAAGCTGCCGCTAATTCAGCCGTAGATTAAGCATCATCAGCTTCAGCAATCGCCTTTAATTCGTCATTGTCGGCCAAAGATTTTGGACGACCACGGGGTTCATTTTTCAGGTCGAAATTTCCGGAACAGAAGCTTGTTTGTAGTATTCGCTCCGTAAACGTCGTTGACGTTGCATGCCTCTTATGTCGCGTTGTTTCCACGACGGTATTTCATCATTATTCATTATTTTAATCGTTTCCGTGATGAAAAAAAAAAACGATTAAAATGCGATGCAAACTTAACGCTACTCGATAAACAATTGACTAATTTCGAAAAAATTATTCTATGTTTTTAAATTAAAATTAATTTGAAATAAGAATTCTTAGCCGAACAAAAATTATTTTGATTCGAAATGGCCAGTATACTGCAGAATGGCAATTTCAAAGGTGATTACATTATAGAAAATTCATTCATTTAACGATTTTGAAAGCATATTAATGTACTAAAATTATTAACGAATATAATTTTATCACTCAATGTTTTCCCTCTCTGTATTCACTTAAAATTAAATGTTAGATTTAGAGTTTTTTTCAACTCTTAAATTTAATAATCGTTACTTTAAAGATGGTAAAAAATAACACATGTTAAAGTAATAGTTGTAAATTAAATAAATAATCAAAAACTACCTTTATATGTACTGTATTATTTACTATTTGCTGAATTATATTAACTGTGACGTAGAGAAGGAAAGAGAAGCAAAGCTATGCGGACACTAGCGCGCAACGATAACGTTTTATTTAGCTTGCGTGTGTGATTTATCTAATTAATAATAATTATGTAGGCTATTAAAACATCGGCAAGTAGTGAACATGAAAGGACTGCAACCTCTACGTAGTATTTATTCTGTGGCGGCGGTGAAGGAAAACATCGTGAGGAAACCTATGAAATAATATAATGTCTTTGAATAAAATAATATATTTCAAAGACATGTGAAGTTCGTCGACTAGTTGCAAATAATATAGTATATGCTGCGAGTCCTCAATTTGCACTATGAAGCTTTAATAAGAATATTATTCTGATGGTAATATATTATATTATTATCTTGTTAAATATATTATTTAAAACATTTTTTTAAGTTGGATGTTTGTTACAGAGTTCAGGCTGCTTTAGCTGGAGCTTGTGCAAATTTGCACTGCCTTCCAGAGCGGCTAAATCCGGTTGTCCGTCCGTTGATGGAGAGTATAAAAAAAGAACCATCGGAGGAGTTACAGGCGCATTCTGCCGACACTCTTGCCGTTTTGCTGGCACAACTGGTCGCAAGGGAGCCCTGTCCTAACAATAAGGTGCTGGTCAACCTTAAGGCGTTTCTCAGGTAAATTATTTCATGTGTTTTTTTTTTTAATTTAGTTTCGATCTTTGAAGCAACTTTTGAATACATCAGTTCAGTGTAACTGGTGGTAATCGCGGTTTACATTGTTTTAATATTTGACGTATAGTTTTTTGTATTGGGTAAATGTAGTGACAGTATCGATTATGAGCCGATATATTTTTATTATTATATCTTATTTTTTACTTACAAATTATGATTGATTATCATAATAAAAAGACATTAACCAGTTGCGGTGTAATTATAAGATTTCCAACAGAGTAACTGAATCGTACTGCAGTAATGCTGAATACTAAATAAAAATACACTAATAATCAATTATACAATAATCAACTGTATTTATTTATTTATTATATGTATGTACTTATCGATTATATAATTATATTTATGTCGTGTGTATTTTTCAATATTGTACGTACACCCTTACCCTTTCTCACAGGTCACTTTATCCTCTGCAATGGTTGCCTGATAGAGATCGCTTCTAAGCGATAAGGCCGCCAATTATACTTTTAAATAATTTTTTTTTCTCTTATATGTATTTCTGGTGTACAATAAAGTATATTTCATTCATTCATTCAACTCTTTTATGTACTCGTTCTTAACTACTCTGTGTATAAGTTTGGAAGTGGAATAAGGTTCATAAAGTATACAAAAATCTTAACTTACTTTGAAAATAGTTGTTTTTATTAGTGTAATTTTATAAACACCTTTTCTAACTTATTTTTATTATAATTTGTATTTTATTTGTTTTAGATGTGACCCGGAATATACACCTCGTGTGTACTTAGAGGAAGCAGAAGAAGGAGACTCTGGCAGCGGGGATAGCAGCTCGGAGAGTAAAAAGGAGGTTCAGTCCCCATATCCAATGCGTAAGTAACCATTAAAGATGAATTTTTAAACCTTTTTACTCCATCCTATAAAAAGCCATGTTGCAATATGGTAAATAACATCAAATTATCTATTAGATTTTTTTGTAAAGAAGTCCGATTTTTTAATTTATATTTGTATACACTTGATGGTCAGTAGATACTGTGGCCCATAGACATAACACCCCCGAGGACTAAGATGCCTTGCTTCCAGTGAAGAGCCTCCGATTTAGTTATTAAGTTGATACTTTAGGCTGATATTCTGTGAGAGCGTGGTACTCTTTTCCGTGGCCGAGCCATTTCATTCTTGCTACAATCATAATTTAGAGTTGTGGTAGCTCAGATGGTTAATGCTCGCTGTAAATATAACAGAACGCGAGTAACCCGGGTTCGATTCCCGCCGGCACCAATTAAATTATTAATTGCAATTTTAAGTGCTGATTTACCACGTGCTCGGCGTTGAAGGAAAACATCGTGAGGAAACCTGCATGTCTGAGGGATACGGAAAAAAATATTTCGAAGACGTGTCAAGTTCGCCAACATGCATTGGGGCAGCGCGGCGGACACTTCTTTGCCCTAAAACCCTCTCAGAAATGAGAGGAGGCCTGTGCCCAGCAGTGGGACATATATAGGCTGTAACTTTACAATCATAATTTAGTTTTAGCATGTTTAAAAAAATTGCATGTTTGTTCGCAGTGGACAAGCACAAGGGCATCCTGACGCTGCGCGAGCAGCAGCGCAGCGCAGAGCGCGTAGCGCCGCGTCGTGGCCGCCCGCCCGCGGCAGTGCACGTCGCGCACGCGCACCACGACCTAGCGCTCGACTCGCTCTTCCCGCAAGAGGACGAGGTGTGCTCTCTCTCTCTCTCTCTAAACACACACACACACACACACACACACACACACACGCACGCACGCACGCACGCACGTGCGCTCGCACCGTACCCGTCCCACAGATATACACGGTCCCCGTACCCACGGGCATACGCGCCTTCTTACTTATGATACCCTAGTACAGCTCAACAACATTCCAATGCTGAACATCTACAATCGGAAGCAAGTTTCTATCGGACTTTTTATGGGACCATGCTGGACTTGCGGCGAATTGCTGCTCCTGTGTTATTGCTTAATTAATGGTTTCAATTAGATTTGATACCGAAAAGTGGTGCATTTTTGTGTATTAAATATCTGCGCAGGTATTGTAAGTGTAACTGTAATAGATATGTATATGAATACAGGCACGTCATGCCTTATAGCCTTACGCCAGCTTACTCAGTGTCAGTGAATAAATATCTGTTGCTTCAGACGGTCGTGTGTTTATTTAACAATAATTGCCATACATTATATAATACTCAAGATAAAGTGTCTGCTTGAGATAATATCCCTCGTTTACTGTCCGCTGACTCAAAACTTTTGTTAAAATCAAAATTTTTTTTGTTAAAAAAAATTTGTTATGCATCAACATATTACGAAAAAGTTTTGAAACAATTTACTTTAAAGGATAATTTCTTAATATGTTTGACACTGGCAAAAGTAGGAGTTATACCATCAAAACTGAACTCTGATAAATTTTATTTGTCCCTCGCAAAAAAACACCGATTCCTATCACGGATGATATGACTCGAGGCTATTGAAATTAAAAAACATCCTAATTTCAATAGAGAAGATGGGTGCTGCCATCTGCTTGGAATCCTACATCCTTATCCCTATCCTTAACAAAATTAAATCCCGGCCCAAGCATACTACTCAAGACTTCAGGATACTATAAGCTCATTCTGCCTAGATTGGACCAAAAATAATATTTAAAAACTGAAGGTAGCTAACTATGACATTGGGACGTCAAACATCTCAGTCCCCCCGGTCACCATGGGTGTTGTAAAGCACCCGAAACGTCGGGATAATAAAAATAAGTTAATTAAACACTATAAAATCCGTATAAATAGTTTAATTGAATATCGATTTGTCTTGTATTTATTTTGTATTATGTATAATGCTTTCAGGCACGAAAAATTTTGAGAATTCAGAGAAGAGGAGCTACTCTTGCTTTGACAAGTCTGACAAAACACTTCGGTAATGAATTACCTGAGAAATTACCAAAACTATGGGAATTCATCACAGAGCCTTTCGAAAAAGTTATGACCGACAGTGGTAAGTAATATTGCTTTAGCATTTAATTTACCAAGTTGTTCTTTTTATTGCACTTTAAATTGAAAGTTATTAACCAGATTTTTTAATGAACTTAACCACTTGTTTATAGGAGCATAATAGCCATTTTAAGTTCACTGATAAATATAAATAGATCATTTCAAAAATTTGTCAGTTGGTAGGTACAGCATGGACAGGTGGTTTGGTGAGTGCGGAACTGATTTTTTTTTTTTGCTTATTATAATTTAGTGCTCATGCACAATGTAATAGTGATTGGAACAATCACTATTGCATTGAAGACGTCCAGATTGTATTCGGATGGAAACTCACGTGACAGCTGATCCATCCGTTTGTTGTACTCATTACGAACACGAAGTCTAGGTTCGAATGCGTGAGATATCGCCAGTAAAGGTCTGTAGACCAGCCAACCATTTGTTTGTCCGATGGTGGGAAAGAGGTATTTCTGTATTTTCTCGTATTCATAAAAAAATTTCCCTATAACCAGACGGTGATAATGGTTTAGGTTTTAATGTCTGAAATACTAAATTAAGAATTTACATTAACCCTTCAAGCGCCATAAAAATCCCGTGCAGTCGCATGCGCCAGACAAATACCGAGCGGTCGCATGCGACCGCACCCACCCACATCAATTAAAACCATTAAAACTTATATTTAGAGACTACTTTTCTATGAAGAAGTTTAGCATTATAAAATCTATACAAAATTCTCTATCTTGTGGTCTAAACAAAAGTCAGGTTTTACTTCATTACAAAAAGATTTTATTTATATTACAAAAAAATAAGATACCAAGCGTTTGTCGGCAGCGTGAAAATCACAATTATTTCAATATATATTACTCGAAATTATTTATGTAAAAAGATAAATTATATTCACACAAAAACTTTCATTACAATTTTATAATAAAACACTAATAAAACACTAGAAAAATCCAAAAATCAACACAATAACATTCACGCGAAAATGGCGTACGAAATGAACGTAGATTATAAATAAATATTCATAGGAAAACAGTTTTTTTATTGCACTAGAGGATAGAGTATTATAGATATAATCATATTGTTTATGTCAAACTTCTTCATAGAAAAGTAGTCTCGTCTATAAGTAAGTTTTTATGGGTTAAAGTGCTGTGGGTGCGTGCGACCTCATGAGACCGCTAGGGATTTGACGGAATATTGCCGCGGTCACCGGTTAAGTATTATTATCATTAATTTAAAAAATTGTAAGAAGTAATTTTATTCCGCCTACAGATCTAACAGCGCAGGAGCCGGAGGTGGCGGAAGAGCTGATCTCGCGGCTGCAGGTGGTGGAGGCGGTGTGTGCGCACGTGGGCGGCGCGCTGTGGCCGCGGCTGTTGGGCGGCGTGCGCGCGTGTGCCGCGCTCACCCGAGCGATCTACACCGCGCTGCGGCACATGGCAGCGCGCGCGCTGGCAGCCCTGGCGGCTCGTGACCCGCACGCCGTCATGCACGCTCTCGTGCACGAGGTGAGTGCCGCACCGTATCGCACCGCACCGCACCGCAAAGCAACGCTCTACACTGCGTGCACTGTGGCACGTGACTACATTAATAATAAAAAATTGTACAGTGTATATATTAAGCTTTAGGGCGGATGTCCACTGCCGCGTCACCGGGACGTCAACGAGAACGAGATTATTTCTGGCCGAGATCCAAATGACGTGACGGCGATCGTATTTTCCCCTGCGACGATCTCGGTGGTGTAGTCAGTTTTTGTAGTTATCGTGTGTGGTTGTAAAACAGGCGCGACACGACTTGTCCATCCACACCGGTGCCGTGTGCACCGGTGTGGATGGACAAGTTTAATCATGTTTTGTATTGCCGGTACAATCGGCCTGTCACAATCTCGGACCAATTTCTAGCGGTAGCGCCGATTTACTGTTAAAGTTCGGCAGCTGGGATGACGGCGCTCATGCGACGTGCTTACAGTGGACAGACTAGACTAGTAAATATATATGTTGCTACCTCGGCGACGTCATATCAGTTTTCGTTGACGTCTCAGTGACGCTGGCGGTGGACAATCGCACGATTTACACGGTAAATCCATAGTAGAGATCCATTACGTCATTGGTATAGTGATCGTAATCGCGGTTGCTGATCACGAGGTCCTGGGTTCAAATCTCGGGTCGGATAAAAATTTAGTTATTGGCTTTTTCTGTAAAGTCTTTTCAAGAAGTTTTCAGTAGTGCTCGAAGTCAGGAAGTTGGCGGTGTTTTATCTCCTTGTCTCGGATAGCACGTAAAGTTAGCTCCTGCGCCTGATCTATCTGCGGTCGTGTCGCATTGCCATCCCATCGGACTATGAACGTGAGGGAATAGGGAGTGTACCTGCTTGCGCATACACTTAGGCGTTATAATCCTGTACTGTGCATATAATCAGTGTCCGTGGAGACTGGCCGCCGTGACCGTGATTCGGTCTGGAGGACATTACTATCATTACTAGTACTAGCTGTACATAGCTGCAGCACGAATGTAACGACTCGACCTGCTTTGGACCACACTCCCACAGAATACCAACTTAATGCTGCTGTGTTTCATATTGTCTGTATTTTTATTGAACAACGATAAAAACTAACACTTTAATTTACTTAAATAAAACTTAAAACACTAATAATTAAAACACTAATTCACTATTCCGCCCCCAACAAACATCCAAGCGTTAATGTGATGTCATTTTCTGTAAAGCCCCCTCCCACAAAACTTAAAGTAATAAGACATTCCAACTTAGTTTTCGGGTTTGACAACGCATCTGTATTTTGATCCTTTATCAATGATTTATACGTGGTAGACAGTTTATTAGTAGTATAGTTGTAGCACGAATGGGTAGGCTCGACCGGGGAAGGACCACGCTCTCACAAAATGTCAGCGTAGAATAGTAGTTTAATGCTGCTGTATTTCGTATGGTGAGTGTAGAGAACCGGAGACCCTTTTTACTGGAAACGAGGCATTCCATGTTAGTCCTCACGGGTGAAAACGCATCTGCATTTTCATTACTAATCGAGAATAGATGTAGATGTCTATGGGCCGCAGCAACCACTTACCATCGGGGGGACTGTGTGCTCCTTTGTCACCCTATCCTATAAAAAGAATGAAAATGTGGACATCTATGGACTATAACATCTGGTTACTATCAGGTGGACTATGTGAGCGATTGCCAGCCACTTTATTTTTATTAAAATAAAGTATTGCTGTGCACTTGCATATTTTCCGTTATTCTCATCTCTTTCGATGGAAATAATCAATCAGATTAGATGTGGTAATTTAACACATCTGTAAAGAATTTAAAAAAGCATGGTACCAGGTGCGCTCTCACCTTTGTGTAAAATGTTGATTTTTATTATGCAACAATAACAACATAGCCATGTCTGTGGTCTGTGCTAAGCAACAGATATATAGGTAAGTGTGGTGGTATTGAAAGTGTTTTTAGCCGATGACTTTGCATGTAGGTATAATAAAAGTGGTATGTGGAACGTAGTTGGAGCTAATTGTGCGTGTCCGCAGCTGGTGAGCGCGTTGGAAGACGTGCGGCGCGAGCGCGTCCGGTGCGGTGCGGCCGAGGCGTTGGCGCGGCTCGTGGACGCGCTGCAGCTGCACGTCGTGCCCTACGTCGTGTTGCTCGTGCTGCCGCTGCTCGGTACTACCTGTGTGCACGCATGCCGCGTGTGTGTGTGTGGGGGGGGGGGGTACTGCGCCACTGTTGAACATAGACCTCCTCGAAGTGTCACTAAGCACAGTCTTGAACCAACACATCTATCGATTTGCTCCATCTTCCTTTCTTCAGTCGTCAATTCTATATAGCCGGCTCATTGTCACTTTAGCTTAATGATCTTTTGACTATTTCGGTTACTGTGGTCTTACTTCGGATATATTCATTTCGAAGTCTATATATGATATAAGAAAAACAAAATAATATAACAAATTCCCAAAATATCGAATCTTCATAGCTCGTTGAGCGACCTTGAGCTTCCACACACTGCCAGCATTACATTCAATTACAGGATTCGACGGATTCAACTCGGCTGGGCAGCGTTCGAAAAATTACGACACATCTTCTCGTCAGGTATACCTCAATCTCTGAAAACTAAAATGTACAACCAGTGCGTGTTGCCAGTGATGACTTACGGATCAGAGACGTGGTCCTTCACTGCTGGCCGTATGAGGACGCTCAAGGTCGCTCAGCGAGCTATGGAGAGGGCTATGCTCGGAGTTTCTTTGCGTGATAGACTCAGAAATGAGGATATCCGCAGTAAAACCAGAGTGACCGACATAGCCCAACGGATAAGTAAGCTGAAGTGGCAATGGGCCGGCCATATAGCTCGAAGAACTGATAACCGATGGGGAAGAAAGGTTCTCGAGTGGCAGCCTCGTACCGGTAGGCGTAGTGTAGGGCGACCCCCCACTAGATGGAGTGACGACCTGGTAAGACATGCGGGAAGTCGATGGATGCAGGTGGCTCAGGACCGTGCTTTGTGGCATTACTTGGGGGAGGCCTATGTTCAGCAGTGGACTTGTGAAGGGCTGTAATGATTATGATGATATATTAAAATGGATGGAAAGACTCGTTAAATTTCTTTACTCCAGCTTGTAACTGTACAAAGTACACAGCAATTATTAAAGCCACAAATAAGTTAAAAGAAATAAAAAGACAAGTACTAATTACGAGGGGTGATCCAAAAGTAATGATAATAGGTTACTTCAGGTCCGCTTAAAAATCCAAAAAAAAAAATATTTTTTGATTGCTTATACACTACGTCAGCCTAAAAAAATCATATAAATAGATCACGATTTCCGGGAGATACATTCATTTGAATATGAACTGTTAAAGAGATAACATGGAGAAAAACGAAATTAGAGCTGTCATCAAGTACCTCTGTTTGAAAAAAATGTCTTCAAAAGACATACACAATGACTTAGTGGAAACATTGGGGGACTCTGCTCCACCATATTCTACAGTTGCACGCTGGGCCAAGGAGTTTAAACTGGGCAGACCATCCACACAAGATGAACATCGCGAAGGACGTAAGTCCCTCACTGAAGACAACGTGAAAAAAGTCGAAGATGTTGTGTTGGCAGATCGAAGAGTGACCATCAGGCTTGTAGCTGAGGTCACAGGGATCTCATATGGCAGCGTTCAAAGAATCCTTGCGAACGAGTTGCATATGAAAAAGGTCTCTGCGCGCAGTGGCGAAGCTAGGGCTCCAAACTAGGGCAAGCCCAAGATATGGTTTTGTTGTTTTTAACAGTTTAATAAAAATACACCAATCTTGAGCTGTCTCCACTCTTTAGTTTCATATTCAGTGCTGTCAAAGACGTGTTTAACAAAGCACACAGAAAGTATACTACCGCTAGACAGATTGTATGACATATGCAATTGCACACCTTCGGTGGTTTTGAAGAGCCGTTTGGGTTTTCTTGAGATATTTACAAACTATACAATACATGAACAAAAGAAAAGCATGAACAAAGTACAAACAAACTATGTACAAAGTTAAAAAAGGGACACTGATACTGTATCTAAAGTAGTTATCTTAAAGTAATATAAAAAACAGCAATAATAAAATTTTTCTTAATTTAATTTTTTAATTTTAGGTGACTAGTTTTACTATGAATGAAAAAATATGGTTATTAATACCTACAAATATGTTAAAGAACCTTGGCCTAATGATAAATATCCATACAGAAAAGGGATGGTGGAAAAAGCATTTATTTAATTTAATTCTACATTATACAATAATTAAAATTATAACAAAATTTGTAAAAAATCTATTTTTTTGGTTTGCTAGACATTATTTAAAACTATATTGTCTACTTAAATATATAATCTAACTATCAAAAAGTTACGCACGCCTGCTATTCCTAATAACCTTGCATTGGTTTTGTTTACATTTGGTATCGCTTCTCGTTGGTCGTAGTATGGATATATACAAAGATTTTACGTCATGTACAGTTTAGGTCTTTAGTAGCTATATAATATTCACTGCTTGAATACTAAAGTTTAGTGTACATTGATATATTTTACAGGACGAATGAGTGATCACTGTGAAGCGGTGCGAACGATGTCCACCAGGTGTTTCGCCACACTAATACAACTGATGCCTTTGGAGGGTGCCATACCCGAGCCAGAGGGGCTCTCACCTGAGATGCGTGCACGAAGGCAACGTGACAAACAATTTTTGGAACAGCTTTTTAATCCTAAATCAATCAAGGATTACAAGATTCCAGTACCTGTGTCTGCGGAATTGAGATGTTATCAACAGGTAATTGTAAACTTCATTTTCATCATCATCGCAAGCCGTTTTAGTCCATTGCAGGACATAAAAATTTCAAGAATCTGCTAATTAACGTGCATTTTTTTACGTGGTAGAGCCATGCTGCAGTTATATTAGTAGTATAGTTGTAGCACGAATGGGTCGGCTCGACCGGAGAAGGACCACGCTTTCACAGAATACCAGCGTCAAATAGTAACTTAATGCTGCTGTGTTTCGTATGGTGAGTGTAGAGAACCGGAGACCCTTTTTACTGGAAACGAGGTATTCCATCTCAGTCCTCAAGAGTGACAACGCATCCGCATTTTGATTCGTAATCGAGGATAGATGTAGATGTCTATGGGCCGCAGCAACCACTTACCATCAGTGGCCTGTGTGTTTGTTTGTCACTCTATCCTATAAAAAAAATTTAGGAGGATTTGCCTATAACTAGATTTACACAGTCAATACCCTGGCATTGGTAATGCTGCCTTTCATTAGTCCCTGAAATTTGATTTTAGCGTTTGTTTTTAGATGTTATTACTCATTCGCGGGAGATATTCATACTGTTAATATACTAACAAAAACATCTATTAGGAAATATAAATAAGAAAAATGTTCATAACGAATGAGATATCACTATAGTCTGTATATATTTTGTCCAGGCTGGTGTGAACTGGTTGCGCTTCTTGTACGACTACGGGCTTCACGGCGTGCTTTGCGACGACATGGGGCTGGGCAAGACGCTGCAGTCGATCGTAGTGGTGGCGGGCTCGCACTGGGAGCGCGCGCAGCAGCAGCGCGAGCCGCTGCCCTCGCTCGTCGTCTGCCCGCCCACGCTCACCGGTTTGCTGCAATTTGCAATATTACGTCACAGTAGCAACATCGCAGTAACATCCAGCACGTTGTCACATCACAGTAATATCCCGCACGTTGTCACAACGCAGTAGCATGCAGCACGTAACGTTGCACGTTATCACGTTGTCACGTTACACGTTCTCACAATTACACCTAATAGCGCAGTAGCATGCAGCACGTAACGTTGCACGTTATCACGTTGTCACGTTACACGTTCTCACAATTACACGTAATAGCGCAGTAGCATGCAGCACGTTATCATGTTGTATTAGCACGCAATCCGTGGCGCGTTATACATCACGCCAGCACACTACGCGGCACGTTGTTACATTACACGATTTTATTACGTCCGTGACCGTAAGTGGCGGTGTAAGAATATCCACTACCCCATATCATTCCGTGGGTGTCGTGTGAGGCGACAGAAAGAAACAAATCAGAAGATTATACGTGGTAGAGCCACCGGGGAAAGACTACGCTCTCACAGAATACCAGCGTGAAATAGCAGCTTAATTTTCTGCTTTCTCTTATGATGAGTGTAGAGATCCGGAGATCCTTTCTTAGTCCTTTGGGGTGACAACGCATCTGCGTTTTGATTCTTAAGCGATGATAAATGTAGATGTCTATAAGCCACAGTGTCCACTTACCATCAGATGGACTATGTGCCCGTTTTTCACCATTATTCTATAAATATAAAAACATAGGCAGCAGCGTCTTTTTAAAAACGATTAAAAACAAAAAACCACGGTTGTCAACCCGCGTAAGCCGGGTAACTATGGCAAATATCCTTCATAAGAGGCCATCTATAGGGAAGGCATATGTTCTTCAAGAGTGCACTTTTAATAGGCTGTAAGGGTTAATGGTAACGATTTTATTTGCGCCATTTTTATATTGCTACAGCGTAATGTAAAACGCAATTCAGATTGTCCATAAATTACTAAAATACTTATTTGTATGTATTGTTATTTATTTACGTCGCAAGTTTTGAAACACGAATATCTGTAACTTTCTTTAATAGCAGCAGGCAAGTTTGAATAGGCTTTCGTTACGCTAAGACAATGCAATTCACCATCTAAGGGCTTCACTATCGCTTAGCACCAGGTTGGGTTGTACGCAAGCACTGTCTTATTAAGAAAAGAAAAAGAGTAATTGTTGTTAACAGGAGTTATAACACCTAACTGCTTTTGGAGCCGTGTCCAATGATTGTCAGTCATTGAGTTATACGTATTAGAGAAGCTATTCCAAACAAAAAATGTGCACTACTCTGTATCCGCGTATGAGCAGTTGATTTAAACGCGCGAAAATTGTCATATATAAATAATTGTTTATTTAGATTGTATTGTTAATCAAGTACATTTTTTTTAATTTTCGTTTATTTTGCATATGTGCTAATTTAATATAAAATTATTATTAGCGCCGCTCCGCACTGCATAAATATTAAAGCCACAAAACAGGTATACGGATTGCCGTACAGTTCAGTTGAACATAGTGGGTGTTCGGAATGCCAAATCTAGTGCGTAGTACATATATATCGACGTTGTCAGTATATTTTTCCATAAATAACAAGGTCACAAGGATACCAGAAGGAACTAAAGCGTATAATTTAAAAAAAAACTAACAATCGAGTCTAGTCACCATTAACGAAGTTATGTCTTTGATTAAGCTGTGTTAGAATTAGTTGTGATTTATTTTGACATAATAATTAATTTCAGGTCATTGGGTGTTCGAAGTGAATAAGTTCATTCCAACAAAATTCCTCAAGCCACTGCAATACGTTGGGCCACCGGTGGAGCGGGAACGACTGCGTGCTCAAGTTAAATACTACAACCTCATTGTAGCTTCATACGACATTGTGCGGAAAGACATTGATTTTTTCAGCAACATAAAGTAAGAAATTGTTATATAAGTAACTTAAATAGTTGTTTCTAACAAAAATTACTTTTATAATGCTTTTTAGTATGAATATAATTCTGTAAAACTATTTCTCAAATGAAAAATTTCGTTTTGTTTTTTATTTTGTATCTTGGTGTAACTGTTTATGTGTTTGTCTTATATCCTTATACTTGTGATATTCTATTTGATATAATCAACGTAAAACAAAACATTTTAAGGTGGAACTACTGTATATTAGACGAGGGTCATGTGATCAAGAATGGAAAAACAAAGGCGTTTAAGGCAATAAAGCAGCTCATTGCTAATCATAGACTTATCCTCTCGGGAACCCCCATTCAGGTGAAAATTTATTTTACTTAAATGTCTCAGTTTTTATTTAATTTTTATATTTATTTCTATATAAACACATAATTGTATTTTTTTAAAGAATGTAAACAAATTCAATTATCATCTGATCTGGTTGACATTTATAGGGTATCATTGGTATGCTTTATCGGTAAATAAAAACATATCAAAAACTGATTACTGTCTATTATATTAAAAACATATCTAGGCGAATGGATGAACTTCTTTCTGAAGTTTTTTAATATTTGAAAATGAAATAATTAATAAGTATTTCTGCAACAATGGTTAATGTATTTGTTTAAAAATTTAGTACTATATAATAATAATGAGACCAACCACTTATGACGTTATTACGTGTGAGTGAAAAGAAAGAAAACTAATTGCATGCAGTCTTATTAGTTTGTTTATAGGGCAAGGGCAATGCGTGATAGCGAACTTCACATATCTTTGATAATATTTGTTATTTAAAATGGTTGATTGCAGAACAACGTACTGGAGCTGTGGTCGCTGTTCGACTTCCTGATGCCGGGGCTGCTGGGCACGGAGCGGCAGTTCACGGCACGCTACTCGCGGCCCATACTGGCGGCGCGCGACGCCAAGGCCACGCCGCACCAGCTGCAGGCCGGCGCGCTCGCCTGCGAGGCGCTGCACCGCCAGGTACGCACCAGCTGCACCAGTTGCACAGATGCATGCAGCCTTCCATCTATGTTACTAGATCGCCAATTTAGAACAAAAACTGTGTCACACCTGCCTGATAGCTGTCATGGTGAATATACCACGCAAGAGGGTAGTTGTAATTTCATATACGACAGTTATTACTTTTAGGAAAATACAAAATAAAATTACATAATTATAGTCCGTACGGTTAAAGAATGGTATTAGAAATGGCGATTCATCGAGCTGTCAACATGCACAGTACCAGTAGCGAAAACTCGCTAATAACGGTAAATCGTTAGAAAATTATATTATTTGGAAATTTTGTATTAATGGGAAAATATTGGAAAAAAAAGAATTGTATACCCAAGTATACCTACTTCAAGTAGGCTACTTGGGTATACAATTCTTTAAATATTTTAATTCATCATTAATTTTCAAATAACATTTATAACTAGCGACCCGCTATGGCTTTTCCTGGGTGGGATCTATTAATGTGGCGCTATTTATACTAAAGATAATCATTAAATCTTATCAATATTTCTATTTTAATAAAATCTCTAAAATTTTCTATTTATTAAAATACAAAACTAAATCAACAATCCCAAAAAAAAAATAATTACGAGAAGGTACGAAGAAAACTCTCAGAACGCGTCGTAGCTCACAAATTAGCAAAACCGGACTGATTGTTGTGGTAGTTTATTGGAAGTTATTATCATTGATTCCAAGTTAGACTATAGCTATAGAACGTACCGGAAAACGCAAATCGCATAAAAAATTTTTGCCATCTACCGGTGGGTGTGAGTATGGATAACGACAGTGTGCGAGCGAAAGGCTAATAGAGGGTACACCATTTTCAATCCCATTCTTTAACTGCACGGGTAGTACGTATCTGAAAAATAAACTTAAAATTACGGAGGATTGACCGTAACTTGTAAACAAGGTATGTAAGTGCGCAATATATTAGTATCCTAGTGCCCGTCTAGTATTATACATAGTAAGTCTTTGACTGCAGCTCGGGAATATTCAATCTCGTATACGTAGCGGCAGGAGACGTGAGCACAGCCTTGACATGCGCAACACTTGGTTTGTTGCAATTTTTGCTGAAGTACACGGACGCAGGGTCGGTACGGTGAACATTCGTTGGTTAGTCTATGACCTCAAACACCTCATTTTCCCCACCCCTCCTGAACATGGGTGCTGTAAAGCGCCTGAAACGTCGGAAAATAAAAAAAGTTAAAATTAACCGTTATAAATTCCGTAAAAGTAGTCTTACTAAATTATTAAAGGTGTTTTATCTCATTACGCCGGAACAGCGTTACTCTGTTGCTTAATCAAGGACACGTTGATTACTTTATTATATCACTTTAAACAGCTTATCTCGGTTTACTTTCCAAGTACACAACTGACTGCCTCGTTGGTCTAGTGGTTGTAGTAGTGCGACTGCTGATTATGAGGGCCTGGGTTCGGAGTCTGGTCTGGCTTCGGGCTTAAATAAATCAGTTATAGAGTTTTTCCGTCAAGAAATTCTCAGAAGCTGCCCGGAGTCAGAAAGATGGCGGTGTCTCATCCCCGTACCTTGGGAAGCACATAAAGCCGTTGATCCTGATATTGTTTAATGTCATCAAAACTACAAATACTCATCTGCAGTTCGCAAGCGTAAACATAACTTAATCAGGTGACCCCCAAGATTTCGATTGACTCAGAAAGACATAAACAAAAGTAATTATGATTACTAGGTAGTAACGTTATATTTGTGCGTTTTCAGGTGCTACCGTTCCTACTTCGTCGCGTAAAGGAGGATGTGCTCCGCGAATTGCCGCCGAAGATCACTCAAGATTACTACTGCGAGCTCAGTCCGCTGCAGCGACGTCTTTACGAGCATTTCTCGCGAGACCACGTACCACAAGACCTTACGCACTCACACACCCACGTATTCCAGGTCACTATTATTCGTTTTGTTTCTCTAAATAGCGAAACCACCCCAGTATACGGTGTACCCTGTTAAATTTGACAATCGACATATTAATAGTGTATATCTGTACGAAAATGTTGAAATATAAATCCCACAGAGTGGTAATCCATTTGGCTAATCCAGTCATCTCGTATTTATACTTTTCTTTTATATAAATATAAACGTAAACTTAAGTAAATGTGATAATTAAACAAATATGTATTTAATAACTTCACATGACAATTAATCCGCGTTAATCCTTGTTGTAGATAAAGTATAACTGCGGCACAAAGTGGATTATTTTGACCGGGGAAGGATCACGCTTACAAATATTTGCAGCGTTAAATACCAGCATTTCGTCACATTTTGAAGTGAAAACTTCTTTAGCGGCGTTGTACACTTTTTTGTAATGGGTAAAGAATGTTAAACTCGCGTCAGGACACGTGACCCTGATCGAAAATTCGTAAGACGGATGGAGAGAGACAGCCGGCGCGGCGTAGGAGAGGAAGTATTCCCCTCTCTTTCTACGGCGCGGTGAAAATGTATGCCTGCGCCTGCTGTTTCGTTTAGGCGACGCAAGGCGCTTGCGCGAATGTAATATAAATTAACATGTTTATGTACAATAGCGCAATATATAAATATTGTATTCTACCACATAAACGATAGTACTTTTATACTGATAATTAAAGCAATTCGTACTAAATTATTCCCTAACCATTCCAAAATATCAAAAATGCACAACGTTAATATTCAAGTTTTCACTTCTGCCGGCAATCCCGGAGTGCAATTTGTTATTACCAGCACACAGCCCATCTGATGGTTAGGAAATGTGGTTAAAAACACCAACTTCAATTCCTGATTAAAAGAAAAACCCAATCGGAGATTAGGGAGTATGCATTATTTGCATGCCCATACTAACTACCTTGGCCAGGCAGGTTTGTCCAAACCATTATCCTCATATTGATAAATACGATGGGATAAACTATTACTATAACTATCATTTGAGATAGATCCATTTTTTTTCTTTGGTAATGGAAATTATTTTTAAAATAAATTGTTTCAAAACTACTTTAAAATAAGTTGATGAGTTAAATTGTGAGGTTTATGGGAGATTTTAATGGTAGCTTGAGCCAGTAAAAAGCTGATAACAGTAGTATCTCAACATCACTATCGGAGCCCTTGTTTCATAATTTCCACTAATATTTCACATGCGTAGATTTAAAACTCAGAATCGCAACACTTACGTATCAAAATCTACTAGAAACTATTAAAACAAAATACAGGAGCATTAATCCAAGTTAAGTTTCGCATAAACTACCCTAGATTAATGTGTGTTGGTATGTTGGTGTGGTGCGCGCAGGCGCTCCACTACCTGCAGAACGTGTGCAATCACCCGAAGCTGGTGCTGACCCCCGAGCACCCCGAGGCGGCGCGCGTGGCGCACGAGCTGGCCGCGCACAACTCCTCGCTCGACGACATACACCACTCCGCCAAGCTGCCCGCGCTCAAGTCAGTATCCACTATACGCTGCACTACCTGTGGAACGTGTGCAACCACCCGAAGCTGGCTGGTACGCGCGTTGCCATAGTTGCCACACTTGGCAAGCGGGTTGGCAACTGCAGATTTTTTTATTATTTTGCTGTTATCAGAAATATGGTTAGATGACCTGTTAAAACATGCACATGCATCGATGGATTCAGGTGGCTCACGACCGTGATTTTTGGCATTCCTTGGGATAGGCCTATGTTCCCAGCAGTGGACTTGTAAAGGGCTGTAATAATGATTATGATGACAACGTCACGAAAACTGTAATTTTTTTTTAATATATCCACTTTACAATATCTATGTGCCTCGTCGCTTTGGTGATCATGAAGTCCTTGGTTTGAATCCCGGCTAAGGCTAAAATCATTTATCATGTTTTCCTGTCAGAGTCTAGAAGTTGGCGGTATTTCACCCTCGTGCCTTAGAAAGCACGTAAAGCAGTTAGTCCTACGTCTGATTTCTCACGGTAGTGTCGGATTTCTGTCACATTGGACTATGAGAGTGAGGGAATTTGAACCGCAACTGTGTTAGCGATGTTTGTGTTGCACTATAATCCTATCGCAGATGGCTAGTCTTGTTGGGATTGACCACCGTTGCCGAAATTCGGTCTGTAGGACATTACATCATCTAATAAGGTAATTCGATACTTTCGAGGCTTTTATTTTTATTTCACTTATAAAACTTATTTTTAGAGTATATAACAATAACAATATTTAACAAAAATAATACTACAACTAGATTTTTTTACCAAATTGAAACTCAAAATAAAATTCACTTTACTTTCGCAGACAACTCCTTCTAGACTGCGGCATCGGCATAAGCACAACGGACGCTGAGAACGGCGCTGTAGTATCACAGCATCGTGCACTCATCTTCTGTCAATTAAAGAAGATGTTGGACATCGTGGAGAATGACCTGCTTCGCCGGCACTTGCCGGGCGTCACGCACCTGCGACTCGACGGCAGCGTGCCGCCGCACCAACGGCATGCCATTGTTACGCGGTTCAATACTGACGTCTCCATTGACTTGCTGTTGCTTACGACTGCGGTTAGATTTTTTAATTTCATTCATTTGATTTGATGAAAATTCCATCCAGTAAATTAAATTTGCGGTCTTCTTGCCCCCCATGGGACTGACTTTACATTTGGTCCTTCGAGCATTACTACAAGTTTGAACCAGTAAATGCTCTTACCTTTTACCCCTCGTAGTATTGACTCTAGATTAATTTGTTTCTTCTCCTAGGTTGGACTCCACGTTAAAATATTTAGGAAACTACATTTATTTAACTAAACTATACACTTAAATTAACGAAGAGTCCTCCCGCCACGACTTGCACGGCTGCTGAGAAAATACTATGTATAAAATAAATACATATTCAAATAATTATTTACTATCAGCAAACCATTTACTGTTGGACTTAGTTCTTCTCCAAATTAGGAACATATATTGTATTATTTATTAATAATTATACATTAGGTGGAGTGGCGAAGCCTCTATAGAAGCCCAGAAGCCCGGCTTGCCTTATCAAGCTGAATCAATCAATAATGTCAAGTAATAAAATAACTCGTAAACTGTTTTAAACTCTGCCGCTCTGTTCGACCTCGTAGCCTTAGGAATACTGCTGTCATACATGTAAGGAGAGTTGAATTGAGCGATTCGTTGTCTCCCTGGGACGCGTGGGCTTTTTACCGGGTTTTCGATAAGAGAAAGGGAGCGACCCTTTCTAACCTGTGGCAAAATGTTCTCTAATGAAATATAACTATTCAGCCACAAGCCTGGCTTTGCCCTGAAGTTGTTTAGGAGTGCGTTAGCGACTAGCGAATGGGGTGCGGGCCATTCGTATGCAAGTTCACTTTACATTTCAATGTTTATGTTTGTTTTGATTGTGTTTGTTAAAAATTTATGCTTTTTTAAAGATTTTCAGTGAAAATGGGATGATAATAGTGTTCATTGTGATGAATATAAGTGTGTTGAAGTGCTAATCGGCGAGGAAAAGTAAAATCTTTAAAAATGAATTTTAATATTCAATAAACATTTCTTCATACTTTAAATATAGGTACAGGACTCTTTAGTATTAAAGTTTAATTAAGTTAGGCGTATTTAAAGGTTTAATAACTCAATATTAATATTACCATACGAATTAAAAATATCAATTTGAACAGCAGCATAAAGTATGAGACCTAGGTTTAATTTTAGAGGAAATAAGTGTTACAATCTTTTTTTAACGTGAAGCCCAAATTTTAATGTAATAAATCAAAAGAATACAGAAGAATGTATTGAGGTTTTTAAAGAATACTCCCTTTAGTTATTTCCAGTATATAAAATTTTAATAGCGCCATCTACTTAATTCTATACGTAAAGTCATTTTATCGAACGTAAATTGGTTGATTCTCACGATGGTACCTAAAGATTACAATAGATGGCACAAATACGCTATCGGCTAATTTATAGTGATAAATGAGTTTAAAAATATCATTTTGTATGGTTTATTATAATGAATATCATTTTTACTGTTTATTATAAATTAAAAATGAATAATTATATAATAAATACTTAGTCATTATTTTGTGGTAAAAAAATTAGCAAAGCTTTATCTTCTCATTATAATTATCTAATTCCTGTCGTAATCTGTTCTTTTATGTATATAACAAACAAAATAATTTCGAGGTTTCACATCTGCCAGGCGTCCCGTTTTTAACTTTGTACATAGTTTGTTTGTAATTTGTTCATGCTTTTCTTTTGTTCATGTATTGTATTGTTTGTAAATATCTCAAGCAAACCCAAACGGTTCTTTTCACAACCACCGAAGGTGTGCAATTGCATATGTCGTATAATCTGTCTAGCGGTAGTATGCTTTCTGTGTGCTTTGTTAACACGTCTTTGACAGCACTGAATATGAAACTAAAGAGTGGAGACAGCTCAAGATTGGTGTATTTTTATTAAACTGCTAAAAACAACAAAACCATATCTTGGACTTGCCCTAGTTTGGAGCCCCAGCTTCGCCACTGATTAGGTGGATGGTAGTTTTTTTTTAAATTATTTATTTATTTATTTATTTATGACAACCAACAAGAGACAAACGCGAACGCAATGTAAGTACTAGAAATAATAGGAAATTTTATATCCAAGTGTCGTCTTAATTAAAGGTTGCCACGGCATGCAATGTGCACAAAAATACGTTTTTTAGAACTTACGAACTGCAAACTTAAAACTAGACCTAAATGTTGGCTAACAGTAAAAGGACTGCAAAATTTTTCGCTTGAATTTTTGAGGCCTATCAGCAAAGGTATCGACATCACATGTCTTGCAGAGCTGGTTACATTGCCTCTGTACCCTGTTTATGGTGACGTGGTGACCCAAATTAGTTTTACTGACTTCAACTGAAATGGGGACGTATTGGCTAACAACCACTAGCTTGAATGGTACATTGAAATTTATTGCACTTAGTAGATATGGACAGTCTGCGATTCCGTTGACGATTTTGTGTAGCAACATGAAATCCAGCAAAAGCCTCCGCTGTAGCAGGCTACTTAATTTAAAATACGTCAGTCGGTCTTCGTATGAGGGTAGCTCCTTTATTTTGTAAGTTTGGTACGAAAGATACCACAAAAAACGCTTCTGCATACGCTCTATGCGTTTCACGTAAATGTCATAAAATGGAGACCAGACCTGGCTACAGTATTCGAGGCCAGAACGGACTAAAGACTTGTACAGTGAAATTTTTGTAGAGGTCCTCTTAAATTCTTTAGAATTACGCAACACGAACCCCAACATTTGAAGACCCTTTGTAACAATTTCGTCAATGTGTTTATGAAATCGCAACTTTTTGTCCAGAACCACATCCAGATCTCGAACAGATTCCACTTCTGCCAAAGGATGACCATCAATATTATACACCGGTGTTGGAACATTTAGACATCTTGAGAATCTTATAATCTTACATTTATCGAGGTTTAAAAATAGTCAAAGGTATAAGTAAAAGGTAGCACAAGCGGGCGCAAAAGTGGGACAGTAATTATGTCGACTGTTTCTTAACGCGGCGGGGGTGCGGCAGGTCGTCCCGCAACTTCACAGCAGCGCGACGGAGCTGTTTTATTTTAGAATTTTATTAAAAATGCACTATGCACTCACGAGGCAATAGCAAAGATTACTACGTCGTACGTCGTCGTAAGAAAGTCGACCTGTGATGACGCGTGGATCGCGTTACACTCGCCGAACAGCTGGCTGACCACTTGCTGTGGAGTTTGCACTATGCGCACTACATGTGATACCGACGTTACGTCACACACTATGATGACATCTAGCATTATAACTATAGCGCAAGCTTGTATTTTACAATCCCAAGATACAACTATTTATTCGCACTACGAGTACGAGACTAAACTCGTCCGTGAACAATATGGTCGACTCGACCTACCAAATTCGAATCGAGAGAAACTACTTTTTCTTCATGAACACCAAATACTACCGTCACATATTTCAAAGTCATGACATCTACTAATATATAATTTGCTACACCGTGTTGGTTTTAGTAGGCAGATTCGCGCGCACGGATTCAGGTTTTTCATTAGATAAACCGACAACACGTCCACTACGAAAGCTTGTTTGGACGAGAAGGAGTTCTAAAGCTCTCTTATCTAAATCGCTTCTTGTATTTCAAATGCCGTTAATCCCGGTCGGTTTAATATATTGCCTCTGTCGAGTTTCCACTTATAACTTACTTTACATCGTTTTTGACGAGACGAGAAGCTTATCTAATCAAAAAAGCATCACAAGTAGAACACGCGTTTCCTTTCGCGGTTTTATTTAAATAATCTATAATTTACATTTTGACAAACAAAGTACTCAGTACTCTAAGAATGCCTTATTACCAATAAAAAGGCATTACTTGTTCTCTTCTCTGATCACAAGAAAAGCCATCCTATCCATAGCCACGCTACCATATGATACCTGCAGCGTTCCTTTACCACGTTAAGTTTCAGCTGTATTATATTGACTTGTATATTTTGCAGGTGGGCGGGCTGGGTTTGAACCTGACGGGCGCGGACACGGTGATCTTCGTGGAGCACGACTGGAACCCCATGAAGGACCTGCAGGCCATGGACCGCGCGCACCGCATCGGCCAGCGCAAGGTCGTCAACGTATACCGCCTCGTCACCAGAGACACGCTCGAGGAGAAAATTATGGGGTACATATTGCTGTCTTCTTCAGTGTTCATAAAACCGAGTGTACATTATTAAATTTACAATGGGCCTTGTTGGGACTCCCTTGCTATTGTAGTGCATGAAGTGTGTTTGCTGATGCAAAATCGGACGATTTCAAAGCAATCATGCGAAAACAAGTGGCGTCTCTTGTACGACGCGTTCGAGGGCGCCCAAACAGAGTTCTACGGATGATTTGCAAATGTATTATAGTGGATTCTAACTTGCTTGCAAGGTTTATTTAACTACATGTTGTTGAGTACCATAAGCCGACAAGCCAGAAGTTTATAGTCCCTGTATCAATTTTTTTATAGCTTTTGTTCAGTTTAATGAATGAATGAATGAATGAATATACTTTATTGCACACCACAAACAAATTTACAAAGAACATAACAGAGAGCAGATTACATGTACAATTTGGCGGCCTTATCGCTACATAGCGATCTCTTCCAGGCAACCAAAGGTGTAAAGGAATAAAACAGTGAGTACTAGGTAGGTGGTGCAATATAAATATACCTAATATAATATTAATACATGCAATAAAATAACATATAAGTAAATAACTAATACATTAAAAAAATATGATACACATATACATAGGTATATACATAAACATACACACACACATATATACATATATATACATATACATACATATACATACATACATATACACACATACACATATATACATACATATATCCTCAAATATATACCACTAACAATAACATAAACAAATAAATACAAAACTACATAATCACATAATTTATCCTAATGATTTTCGAACGATTGAGACAAGTAATGCTCTTTAAGAAGTCGCTTAAAGACTACAATAGTCTGAGCTTCGCGTAAATACAAAGGTAGGGCATTCCAGAGCTTAATAGACTGTACAGTAAAAGATTTATTAAAGAAAGATGTATTGTGAGTTGGTACCCTTAAAATGAGTTTTCTTGAAGAGCGTAAAGGTTCCCCTGGAAGCCCAACAAAACTAAATTTCTCCTTAAGATAAGGAGGAGTAGAAGGGTGAATTAATACTGACATACCAAAGAGTAGTCCAAAGAGTCTCAAAATAAATTATTAATAACATAACATAAACACTCACGCCCGTCACCCAGAGGGGTAGGCAGTGACTACGCATGATACAAATGATTAATAAAATATAAAATAATAACAACTCTACGTACTACATTCGCACCTTTCAATCAAGACAACAATGTTTCCTATTAAAGCTTCTTAAAGTTTAGAGTTCAGCAATTAATGCAAATACAGTTTCTAGTGGAAAAGACAATAAATAGGAAACTTGGTGTGAAATAGAGGAATACGAATATAAACAAAAAATTCTAAAATTGCTTTGACAACATATCTTTAGACCATGCATGATTAAAAAATTCAGATGATTAATTGTTTTATTTTATTAACTTCGTTAAATACCAATTAAAATTATTTTATTTCTGGTTTAAAATATATACATTTCATTCTTACATACCTAATATAAAATTATTTTTACTTTTTAATTTTGCTTTGTACATGGTCATGGAGTGGACTGAGGTGTTTGACTTCCTGATGTTATAGTTGACAAGGACTACCTTCAAGTTTTAAATATTATTTTTTAGTCCGATCTACGCAGATACAGTACGAGTTTACATTACGTTGAAGTCTTGCAGTAGTATGCTTGGGCTAAAATTTAATTTTAATAATTCTGAGAACCCAAGGAGACGATAGCACCCATCTATCCTCTCTATTGAAATTAGGATGTTTTTCACTTTCGGAATTAAAAAGTTAGAATTAAATGCTTCATTTATTGTGTGGTTTTCAAGTTCTACCAGTAATCGAAAATTTTATCCAATTACAAATTTGCTTTACAGACTGCAAAAGTTCAAGCTTATGACAGCTAACACAGTAATCAGCAGTGAAAACGCAGCCATGGAAACCATGGGCACTGACCAGCTCTTAGACTTGTTCCAACTTTCGGGGCAGAGTCCTAGCCAACCGCAGCAGCCGTCTAGCGCATCTGGCGTTAAGTCCGTGCTGGAAACACTTCCAGACCTGTGGGATGACAAGCAATATGAAGAGGAATACGATATGACCAACTTTATAAAAAGTTTAAACAATATCAAGACATGAGTATCAAAACCCACCAGGTTATAAAGTGAAGTTATCCTTAGTTGTTGTTTTTTTATTTAATTGTACTAATTTAAGACTTGTACTACAATTCTTTTTATTTTTTATTTGGAAATGTGACTTAAAATATTTTGACTATAATGTTGATATTTAAAAAGCCATGTGAACGAGTCGTATTATTTACTTACATAAATTTTCTTACAGATGATGTGAAAAAAAAATGTTTTTGCTTTTTTTGCTTGTTTTGGTATATTAATAAATTTTTATGTGAATATCTTTTATTAGAACTTGTTTTGCTTGCATGATAGTGTTCTTTTCAATTTTTAACTTCAGGAATATTATATAGGTATTTTCACATATTATTTACCCGTATTATATAAATGTTACTTTAAGCGTAATTGCGAATGTATATTTAGAACTACGTAAAATAAATGATTGTTTTGTGTTCCACTTTATGAACAAAAACCTTAATGTATCACTAAGTCTAATGTTGTCCAAATCGTAAATTAAAACGTAGGTATTTCAATAGAAAATATTTCGAAAATTAACACTTTAAATTTAATTTAAGTAACAAAAATAATATGATCTTTATCGAAAATTTGTATAAATGGGAATATAAGATCGAAAACGCTCATCAAGTCTATTCGAAGGTTGAATAACTTAGAGGCTGAATAAATATTGAGACTTGCATAAAATATTTTTTTATGAGAATGTATATTATAGGTGCAGTAGTGGTGGTGGTTTGATGATTTCGAAAGATGGCTTTGTTGGTTTCAATTAAACGCCGTAGAGTTAGAAGTAGAAGAAGCCGTTTTAATTATCTGGCTACATCAATCTGTGAGAGTTACAAGTGAGAAAAATGTATATTATCTGTGAAATCTTCCTTAAATTTCTTTTCTCTGCATGGAAATATGTTTAAACACATGCGAAAAGTTATTTATGTATTTTGTCAGACGACATCGATATGTATGTTTATAACGGAACATATACATTTGATGTTAAAACTAGTGTAGTGTTTTATAAATAGTGTTTTTCAGACAATGTGGTAGATTGTAGACTTTAGCATAGAGTAACTAAGCCAAAATAAGAGAGTTCTAATATAATATGACCTAACGAAACCATTTATGAAAACTATGCTTCCCATAATCCTTAATTATTTTAGTTTATTCTGACAAAAGATATTTATTTACATATAATGTGCTATAATCTATACATTTTCCGATCTATACGTTTCTTTTGTAAGAAATACCTCAATTGTAGATCTTTCTTACGGTTGCATAGTAATTTATTGCGTAGCAAATTAAGATAGACAAGTCATGTTGTGTAGTCATTTTTGTAGTTTTAGAACGTGTCGACGGGCCAAATAGTTTGATTTTTTTTTTGTTAATTTGTACCTGCTCAAAGAAAGCTTTTTCTTTAAAAATAAAAATATTAGGACGTATATTATCTTCTTTCTGATACACTTGCACCAATAATGATGCACTTGGAAGAAAATTATGTCTAAAGAATGTAAAGAATTTGTATGAAAAATTAATGTAATAACCCCATGATAGTGTTTTTGTATGAGTTAGTTAAAAAATTAAAAGCAACGAGATATTTTGTTTACTGTATGCAGTTTGAAAGATTCTTGCAGGCGTAATAATAATTAATATTTGATATCATCAAAATCTTCGAAAAACTTAACTTTCCAACTTATAAGTCATACAGTAGTAATAGGTTTAATAAATAATTATTTCCTTTAATTTAATTACATGTAAACTATTATTGTGTTGACTGTAGTGATGTTCAGCGGTGTCTTAAAATGTTTTATTGCAGAATTGCAACTTCTTTGACTGTGTTCTTTCTTTTATTTTACTGTTAAAAGCAAAATAAAGTGTGTTTTTGTATACTTGTTTATTGTAATAAATCTGGAGTAGGAAAAATTGCGTATTTTTCATTATTATGGCTAGTCTAATCCTGGGTTTTTAAATCTACCTGCCTGTCCTTTATTTTTTCACAAAATATTAAATTACACCCACAAGGTATGATTTCAGCGTATGAATACTGAATAATAATTGATTCCTCTTAACGACTGCCTCATTGGTCTAGTGTGACTGCTGATCACGAGGTCCTGGGTTCGAATCCGGGTCGGGCCAAAAAATTAATTATTGAGTTTTTCCGTCAAGAAATTCTCAGTAGCTGCCCGGAGTCAGGAAGTAGGCGGTGTCTCACCCCCCGTGCCTCGGAAAACACGTAAAGGTCCTGCGCCTGATCTCTCTCCAGTCGTGTCGTTTTACCGTACCATCGGATTTTGAGAATGAGGGAATAGAGTGCACCTGTGCTTGCGCATACACTTTGGCACTATACTGCCCTGATACGGAAAAAGGAGGCTAAGTGCATTTTGTCGATTTTGAGCTTTCAGCACCACTAGACTAAGCAAAATATTCTCTATCGACCAATATTGGAATTATACTTTTACGACTGATAGTAACTGAAATACATTAGATGTACATTAAGCATTTTGGCGGTTAAGTGCAAAATTTTATTTCCTGTCATACACTAGAAAACAGTTACGATGCACCGTTACGTTACATAACCGTTAAGAGATTTTAACGATTTATTTTCTTAGTTGAAATTTAATATTTGATGTTATAAAACTAAGAAAAAATGCAGTTAAACACATTTTCTAAGCTAAGAGGCAGTTAAGCGTAAATAACTGCTTTGTTCCTTAGCTGCAGTCATGCTAGGCTAAACCTAATAATATACTAAAAAGCGATAAACACTTGTAGTAGAAGCTAAAACACGGCTAAAAACACACTGTTTTTAAGCGTAGAATTTAAAAAATATATTAGTCACGTACTTCCCGAAAAAGCATACACTGCTTTTTAGTGTATGATGAACTTTTGAATTATATTTGAAACAATATTTAAACAGCAGCAAAGTGAATGTGCCACTCTAAATAGCATCTAAGTGTAAGTTTAGCAATCGATGTGTACGTGAAGAATTAGATCAAGTTTTAAGAGTTAAAAAAAAGTATGATCAGAGCTCTTGTCCGAGTGAGTCAGAGGTATATTCTTTGGTTTGGGTTTTGATTTAGAAAACTGTATAATAGTTCTCCGAAAAAATGTGTCTTTTCTGATGAAAAAGACGTTAAGACTCATTTTTCCCATTAAACTGCAATTAAATTGCGAGGAAGAAATTTAATAGAATTTAAAGTAAATAAAATAGTTATATTTATTTTTAAAATAAAATTAGTTTTTACTGATTTTGTCGCCTATATCAACTTTTTTATATTCCCGACGTTTCGAGCACTTTACAGCACCCATCATAGACATGTGTGTGTGTGCAGAGTGGCAAGGGGGCGTGTCCGCGTCCGCGCGCTATAATCAAAATGCTCAGATTCTATTCAAATGGCCGTCTCTACGAATTAGTGCGCTTGCGACCGTCATCACAGAGTACATTATATATACCTGGAAACCGTCATCGTGAAATATTATCAGAATGCCATGTTGTTCAGTGGTTTCTTGTAAAAACCAAAGCTAAAACAAAAACTTTGTTAATCATGGAATCACATACCATACCTAAGTACGAGTATTTCATTATATTTATCTTTAAAATCATATTAAACAACAAATCGTAAAATATTTCTTTCTCTTACTACGTTATTTTTGTTTCCAAATATCACAGCCACTGTAATATTTTTGCAGCAAATACATTGCTCCATAACCACTACCTAAGTATGACGCCAAGTGACTCAACAAGCAATGTAAATATCACAAAACAATACTTTAGTTATGCGGATATATTGCGTAGTACGGCCGCTGTATCTTGTGACGAGCTAGTAATGTACGTGTGCAGATCCACTATCGACAATAATGTGGATTGACGAATTGCTATTATAGTTTATTCTCCAATTTGTCAACCGTTTCAACCCGATAGGAAGACCGATGTGACATATGTTTTTTTACTTATTTTGATTATTTTACAGCAACTACTACGCTGAATGCGTAACCAAAGGTCGTAAAGTAAGTTGATTAAATTTTAGGTTAATAATAGATGGAGTGTTCTTATGTTTGAATAATCGTATATCATGCCTTATCTTCGAAAAATTTTCATAATTTTTATGGTTATGGGGTTTAATATAATTTACAGTTTTCAAAAGCTTCGAATGTATCATAAATACCAAACCGGCATGGTTATATAGTGACCTTGGATAAAATTATTCAATATAATTATTTTTGCTATTTATTTGTTACAAATGAGTGTGTATTTGTTTTCATATATTTAACAATATTATCACTAACCAAAAGTTTTTATAACAAAAGATCGCCAAGCAAAACTTGCTTAGCACATGGTGAGGTCAAAAAGTAGTTTAGAATATATGAAAATAATAAATAGGTTATTAATCGTACCTTTCGGCTTGCTAAATGATGCTAATTTAAAAAAGGAATGGATTGATGCCACTGAAAGGCTACCTGATTTTGTTCCCTACAAAAACTAGTACTGGTCGTCGTAATTTGTGTGCGAATTAAAATTATCATAAAAACAACTTGTCTCGCTAATGATAAATAAGCAATTAAAACTAAAAATGTCAAACAGGAACTCATAGCAAAGGCTTTGTCAAATTTAATTTATTTAATGTTAAGTTTCACCAATTTGAGCAGTCTCAGATGAATAATCACATTATATTTCTTATAAAAGCAGTCATGGAAAAATACATTAATTTAATATTACACTATTTGACAAAAATGCCACCCCAGAAATATAAAAACGTCAAGTGCTGTACAAATACCTTCACTTTACAGGTCAGTGAGTAAGCACCATAGCATGGTTATAAAATACCTACTACTTCAATCCGCTATGATAGCCTAAACCAACGTAACCAGATTTTTTACTGTTTTTATTTATTTTAAAAAAAAAAATTAGTACAATTTTGGTTTAAATGAAACAATCGATAACTTTCCAATTTAGTCAATCACTAACGTATATGTAAAATAAATGGCTTTTTTACAGCACAACGATAG